CCTGGCAAAGGATGGCCTTGGCTGGATGCACTGCCCTCTGTACAGAGGAATTCTGGAGGCTGCGGGCTGGCCTTGGGAGCCAGCAGGACTACTGAACTCTGGTGCGTCCTGTACCAGAGGGCCGACTTAGCTCCAGAGGGCGGGGTCAGCGCGTAAATCGGGCCCCGCTTTAGCGCCGGACCCCCCCCTGGCGGGCTAAACTCTGCAACGGTCGCTGAAACGGATCTGTGCCGCGCAAAACCGTTGGACAACGAAAACGCGGTCTTCTATCCAGTGAGCTGCTTGATAGACGACGCCTTTGGCAGGATGCACTGCCCATCTACAACACGAGCCCATATCCCACCAACAAACATTGTGCTGGTCTAGCCGTGCATTCACATCCATTGACGAGAGACTGCTTTGTTTACACTGGCTTGCGAGAACATGGAGGCCAGCTGGGCACATATGGCATTGGGGTAGGCAGCCCCTTTTCCCTTGCCAGACAACTCGAGATGCGGCTGCAGGGTGAAATCGCGAAGGCCACGGCCGTGGCATTTCATTTTCAAGAACACGGGCGACGGGCGGCAAAACAGAAAATAAGAATTCGTGCGAACCCAGAACGGGCGTCCAGCGGCGCATTGATCGACGATTCCTTCGTGAAAAAAACAGGGAGGCTTGCGTAAGAATTGTGTGTGGACATTGCCAAAGCCAGCTGCTCCCCATGTTCTTTTCGCCAGCAAGGATGCCGAATTTACCAGCGAGATTCCACACCTGCCCGGCGCGGGCCGCAAGAAGGTTGCCGCGATGCATAGCCTGGTCGTCTGCAGGCACTTTAGGAAGGCCGAAAAGGTAAGTGCCGTCGCGCAGGAGCCTCGGCATGCGTAAGTCGGGCCCGCCGCGCCGCGCCTGCGAGAGAGCCTCGCACGGCGTGCCCATGAAAAGTGCCTTAATCTTGCCACTCACAAGCCAGCCGCGCAGCACGGCCCAAGAGCTTGGTTGAGGAAAATCGAACTCCAAACCACGCAGGACATCCCACTCGATCGCAGCGTGCCCAGCCCAGCGGAGATGCCGCGACAGGTTGCTGGAGCCGCTGAAGAGCTCCACGAAGACCCTAGAGTCGCGGCCGCGGCAGCTTCTCACCGTCGCGTCGAGAACTGCCTGCAGACGTCGTCGATGCCGGCGGCCAAACGCGCGATGACCTGCTGCTGGATTGCAAGGATCTTCGTCCACTCGATGGCCGCCCGCCCGTGCTTGTTGTACCGGCGCGCGCTGCTGAAGGCGCGCGAATTTCCGCGCTGCTGCGCTTCCATCAACGCGCGGCAGCCCAGAAGGCGGTTGTGGCTGGCGCCGCCGTTCCGGAGGCTGTAAAGCGTGCCGGCTAAACTGCTCGCTCCCACAGCATCGAGCGCCAGGCCAAAGCGCCGCAGCAAGTGGTTGTAATCGAAATTCCACAGCGGGTGCCAGGGGCCTGGGCGGGAGTCGCGCAAGCGCCACCACCAGCGGCTCGCTTCCGGGTCTGCGAAGCGCCTGCCGGCGCCGACAAGGGCGGCTGTCCGCAAGGCGGAGTCGCCTGCAGCGTGCGCGACTCCATGAAAGAGTCCGGCGCGGTCGCGGCCAACGGACCAGGCGTTAGGGGGCTCCCGCCTGAGACGTCCTCCATATCCAATCCAGAGGAGCCGATGACGACGTTTACAATGTTCTGATGACACGCTCGGATTAAAAGCGTGAAGTGCGGGACCCATAGGCAGAAGGCTCCCGCCTGAGACTTCCTCGAAATTTACTCACAGACGAAGCTCCCGCCTGAGACGTCCTCCATATTCAATCGAGAGGAGCCGAAAAGTGACGACAGTTACAAGCTTCCGATGACCCGTTCGGATCGCCAACGTGAAATGCGGACCCCATTGTAATGGGGCTCTCGCCTGAGACCATCCCGTAATTCACTCACATACTAAGCTCCCGCCGGAGACTTCCTCCACATTCAATCCACAGGAGCCGGAAATTAACGACAATTACAATCTTCCGATGGCCCGTTCGGATTAAAAACATGACATGCGGACCCAGTCTGAGACTTCCTCGCAATTCATTCACAGACGAAGCTCCCGCCTCAGACTTCCTCCAAATTCAATCCGAAGAAGCCGACAAGTCACGACGGTTGCAAAGTTTCGATGGCCCGTTCGGATTAAAAACATGACATGATGACCCCATATGAAGGGGGCTCCCGCCTGAGACATCCTCGCAATTCAGTCACAGACGAAACTCCCGCCTGAGACTTCTTCCATTCTTAATCCAGAGGGGCCGAAACATGCCGACGTTTACAATGTTCTGATGACCCGCTCGGGTTAAAAACGTGAAGTGCGGGACCCACAGGCAGGGGGCTCCCGCCTGAGACTTCCTCGCAATTTACTCACAGACGAAGCTCCCGCCTGAGACGTCCTCCATATTCAATCGAGAGGAATAACAAATGACGACAATTACAGGTTTCCGATGACCCGCTCGGAGTACCAACGTGAAATGCAGACCCCATAGGGAAGGAACTCCCGCCTGAGACTTCCTCGCAATTCACTCACAGACGGGGCTCCCTCTTGGCCGATGATCACGATGGGATGGTGATGTCGATGAATGTGTGAAGATCGTGATGGTGATGGTGAGTGTGTGATAATGGCGCTGATGAGGAGGTGTGCGAATCTGATGATAATGAGGATGGTGATGATGAGTGAGTGTGGGTAATAGTGTGTAGATGGTTACGAATGAGTGTGTCCTGATGATGACGATGATGATGATGATGATGATGATGATGATGATGATGATGATGATGATGATGATGATGATGATGATGATGATGATGATGATGATGATGAGGTGCGAGTGTGCGAGGAGGAGCGTGGGTGAGGACGAGGAAGACTGCGCGGCGGTGTGCAGAGAAAACAAGAACCCCACTCAGGAAGTGGGGAGCAACAACAAGATCATGTTTGGCCGCCGCGAGCCGTCTGGACGGCCTCTTGGGCCGTCTAGGGGGCCATGCTGGGGCTCCTGGCCCGACAGAGCCGCCCGGAGGCGCGCCCGGGCCGTGCCAGAGGCGCCAGGGGCCCGCCGAGGCCGCGCCAGGGGCCCTCCGAGGCCGAGGTGCTGACATCGGAATGCCAGACATGGCGTCGTTAGTCCTTTGCGAAAGGCACGGGCGATTTTGGATACTTGATCCATTTCCCTTCCCACACGCGCTTCCCCCTGCCATGCAAGAGAGACTGGTGTGAACCCATGGACAATCCACGGCCGGGCCAGGACGACGTCGTTCCAGGAGCGGGCCCGCGGAGGCGCCGCCGCCGCGCGGGCCCGGCAGGCGCAACCAATGTGTCCTTCCCGCGCGCGCTTCCCCCGGCCATGTAGGAGAGAAGATGTCGGGCTCCAGCTTCGCCTCCCGTATCTCGCTCAGCAGCGCCAGCGCCCGCTGCCACTGCTCGCTCTTCTCGCACGCACTGATCCCAGCGGTGTAACTGACTAGGGCTGACCCGTGGACTACGTCCACTTGCGGGGTGAACGGGTGCGGCCGCCAGGCGATCAGGATAGATGGCGTCATGTTCGCGTATCAGGGGCGGTTTTTGGAGTGTTGGGACCTGATTTGGGCCTCTTGGGGGCCCTTCTGGGGCGTCTGGGGGGCCTCTTGGGGGCCAGCTGGCGGTGCCTGGGATCATCCTGGAGCGGAGGGCGCGAAAAGGTCAGTTCGAGGTCCCCCCTGGTGGGGCCCTCTTCGGGCCGTCTTGGGTCGTCTTGGGGGGGCTCTTGGGCCATCTTGGGGCCCTCTTGGGCTGTCTGGAAGCTCTCTTGGGGGCCTCTTGGGCCATCTTGACGCGATCGTGGGAGCCCTGGGGCGGGCTTGGGGCGCGGAGGCTCCGAAGATGCGAGCAATTCAGACTGGAACCTTTGCAAAGGCGAGAAGAAAATAAGAGGCGCATCGGGGCCTTATTGTCCTGGGTGGCCGGCGCGGTTCCAGAGCTCTCTGAAGGATCTTCCCTCGGAAGCCTTCTTGGGAGCCCTGGGGCCGGCTTGGGGCGCGGAGGCCCCGAAGAGGCGAAAAAATCAGACCAGAGCCTGTGCAAAGGAGGGAAGGATAAGAGGCGCATCGGGGCCTTATTTTCCTGGGTGGCCAGCGCGGTCCCAGAGCTCTCTGAGGGACCTTTCCTCGGAAGCCTCTTGGAGGCGGTTTCGGGGGTGTCGGGCCTGATGTGGGCCTCTTCGGGGCCCTTCTGGGGAGTCTGGGGGGCCTCTTGGGGGCCAGCTGGCGGTGTCTGGGATCATCCTGGAGCGGAGGGCGCGAAATGTTAGTTCGAGTTCCCCCTCGTGTGGTCCTCTTGGGACCGTCTTGGGTCGTCTTCGGGGGCTCTTGGGCCTCTTGGGCTGTGTGGGAGCTCTCTCGGGGTCCCTGGGGCCGGCTGGGAGCGTGGAGACTCTGAAAAACAGAAAACGCTGAAACCCTCTAAGAGTTCAAGGGGGATCCATCATTTTAGCGTCTCGGAGCCCTTCTTGGGGACCTCTTGGTGGAGCCCTCTTGGGCCGTCTTCCTGCACTGTGGGGCTTCTGGAGCGTCGGGGGGGATTCTTGGAGGCCAACTGGCGGTTCCTGGAATCATCCTGGAGCGGAGGGCGCGAAATGCCAGTCGGAGTTTCACCTCGTGAGGCACTTCTGGGGCCGTCTTGGGTCGTCTTGGGGGCTCTCTGGGGCTGTCTGGGAGCTCTCTTGGGGGCCTCTTGGGCCATCGTGGCGCGATCTTGGGGGCCCTGGAGCCCGCTTGGAGCGTCGAGGCTCCGAACAACATGATGATGCCGAAAACATCCCCAAAACGCAAAAGAAAATCAATGATTGTGGCCTCTCGGGGCCCTTCTTGGGGCCCCCCTTGGAGCCCTCTTGGGCCATCTGGAGGCGTCTTGGGGCCCTTCAGAAACCGTCCTGGAGCCCCCTGGGGCTGGCCTGGGCCGGCTTTGACCACATGGACCCCCCGCCCTTCTGGCGCGCGGTTCCCCCAGCGTTGATGACGTCGGGCTCCAGCTTCACCTCCCGCATCTCGCTCAGCAGCGCCAGCGCCGGCTGCCACTGCTCGCCCTGCGCGCACGCGCTGATCCAAGCGTTGCAGCTGATGCCAGCTGCAGTGCTTTGGCCAGCGCGTGCGTGAAGGGCGAGTCATGCCAGCAGGCTCTGGCGCTGCTGAAGCAGATGCGGGGCGCTAAGCTGGAGCCCAGTGTCATCCGTACTACAATTCTGGGCGTCGCGCGTGCGAGAAGGGGTTGTCGTGACAAGGCTGCCCTCGAGCGCCCGAAGCGCCCCGGCGCTCTCCGACGGCTCCAGAGAGAACCCCTCGGTGGCCCCCAAGGCGGCTCCTGACAGCCCCAGGACATGCTTTAGACGCTCCAGAACGGGCGAGGACGGCCCGAGAGGACCAGAACAGAATCCCACGACAGCCCAAGACGGCCCGATGGAGGGCCAGCAGGTCCCTCGGAAAACGGTCGAACCAGGCCCGATGACGCTCCCCCGAGGCCAAACTCACGGGTTTCCCTTAGGTTTCCTGAGCGTTTCCCATGTTCTCGCCAGTTCGAGCCAGGAACGGCCCCAGACGGCTCCAGGGCCATCCCAGATAGCCCCGAGACGGTCCAGGAGGCCCCGCCAAGTGCCCCAAGACGGCCCCAGAAGGTCTGAAGATCGCGCAGGAGAAGCCCAAGACAGCCTCACAGAGCTCCTGGTGGCCCTCAAAACAGCCCCAAGAGGGCCCTAGGAGGTGCCCAACAGGCACCAAAGCGAGCTCCAAGACGGCCCGAGACCCCCCACATGACTCCAGGACGGCCCGAGAGGCCCCCGAGACGGCCCAAGAAAGCCCCCCCCGAAATGGCCAAGAGGGCCCCAGGCTCTGGGAAGATCCCCACGAGGGCTCGAGGAGGGACCGAAGGGAGCCCAGACGACGCCCCTCCCGCAGCCCTCACTGGGCCAAGAACCCTCCAAGGACCACTCCCACATGCCCCAGAGTCTCCCAAGGGACTCCGATGGTTCTCAAGGAACTCACGGGGAGAGTGTCTCGAGCCACGGCACCCTTTCGCCGTCTCTCGAACCCCAAACGCCCCCAAGAAAGCCTCAGACCCCCAAGGCAGGCCCCAGACCACTCCGAGATGCCCCAGGGTCACCCGAAAGATCTCGACGCTTGCCAGGAGACCCCGACAGTTCCCACGGAGCTCTCGAGAGCGCTCCCAGGAAGAGACTCCCATGGCTCCCACGGAGCTCCCAAGAACGATCCCAGACCACTCCGAGATGGCACAGAGTCGCCCTCAGGACCCCTCCCCTGCGGCCGCTTGGGGGTGGGGGGACGCTCTCCTCTGACCTCCTTCTCCTTCCCTCGTCAAGGCTCCGGCCGCTCTGGGGCCTCCACTCCGCCTGCTCTGGGCGACAGGGGGGACCTGCAACCACTTCGGTGGCCCCCCCTCCACGGCCAGTCAGGGGTGACAAAGGGGGGGGGACCTGAAGACGCTGCGGGGACCGTCATTTTGCTACCCCCTACGGCCGTGCAGGAGAGCCCTTGGTGGCCCCCAGGACAGCCCCAAGACCACGAGATCCCTCCCTGGACCACTCCGAGGTGGCGCAGACCCCCCCAGGATATTCGAAGATAGCCTCCAGCCCGGCTCCCAGAGCCTGCAGCAAACCCTGCAGCTCCGGAGTCTTTTGGGCGTTTGGGGGCCACGGGGGGTTCTGTTCGGGCGTCTTGGGTGCCTCTGGGGCCGTGTCGGGGCCTTCGGCGTAGGCGCCTCTTGGGCCGTCTTGGGCCGCTCTTGGGGCCGTCTTGGGTGCCTCTTGGGCTGTCTTGGGCGCCTCCTGGGCCGTCGCGGGGCCGTCCTGGGCCGTCGTGGGACCATCTCGGGGCACTCTTGGAGCGTCTTGGACCGTTCCAGGGCTCAGATGCCAAGGGCCTGGAAATCCTTCAAAAAACAATGGAAAATCTATGATTTTGGTGGTCTCGGGCCTTGACGTGGAGTCTTTTGGGCCGTCTTGGGAGGTTTCTCGCCTGTCGTCGGGCACTCTTGGGCCGCCCTGGGGCTCGCTGGGGGTCCGCTCGGGCCGTCGGGGCGCTCTCGCGGGCGGCTCTGAGCCGTCTTGGGGCCGTCCTGGGCCCTCGAGCCTCCGTGGGGGAGCCCTCCGAGGCCGTCGTGAAGCGCCTCGGGGCCACCCGGGAGCGCGCTGTAGCAACAGGCGAGGTCCGCACATGCTGTTTGCCTTGAGCCAGCTTGCGAAACGGGCGAGCATTCTGGATATATGTCGGCGGTGCCCCGTGGCACGACCCCCCCCCCTGTACTACCGGGGGATCTCGTGCAGGCCGCACCGGGTGCCGCCGACGGCTCAGAACCCCCCCCCTGTGCCTCTACTGGGGGGTCTCGTGCAGGCCGCACCGGGGGGGGCTTCGACCTGGACTCTCCCCTGCGGGTGCTGGCCCCAATGGGGGCCTTGCCCCCATCTTGGGGGCTTCTGTGGCCGTCGTGGACACGTCGGACGCGAAGAGCACGACAATACAAAAAGTGAAAGTTTTCCGGCGGGGATGGTAGGATTTTTCCGCCTCGGGGCTGTCCTGGGGAATCCTCGAGTGCGGTCTTCGGAAGCTCCTGACCTGCTCTGGGGGCCCGCGGGGCCGTCGGCGCGGCCTCTTCAGCGGCTCGGAGCGCCGCTCGGTCGGGCTGTCGAGGTGGCCTCTGCAGCGGCTCGGAGCCGTCATTGGGGTCGTCGGGGCGCCCTCTTGAGCGGTTCGGAGCGCCGTCATTGGGCCGCCGGGGCGGCCCCTGGAGCGTCTCGGAGCCTCCCGGTATTGTAAAAGAGATGACGTCGGCCTCCAGCTTCGCCTCCCGCATCTCGCTCAGCAGCGCCAGCGCCCGCCGCCACTGCTCGCCCTTCCCGCACGCGCCGATTCCAGCAGCGTAGCTGACTAGGGCAAGCCCGTGGACTACGTCCACAACATGCGGACCGATCTGGTCAGAATTCCCCCGGCGGCCACGACAGCTTACTCGCATGCAAGGGTGAGGTTCGACTGTATGCGCGACTTCCTGTCTGCAATGTTGCCGGTTTTGATTGACAGGCCCTTTTCGCACGCACGTATGCCTGCAATGTAGGTAAGATGACGTTGGGCTCCAGCTTCGCCTCCCGCATCTCGCTCAGCAGCGCCAGCGCCCGCCGCCACTGCTCGTCATTCCTGCACGCGCTGATCACCAAATCGTAGCTGATGACGTTGCGCTCCAACTTCGCCTCCCACGTCTCGCTCAGCAGCGCCAGCGCCGGCTGCCAATGCTCGTCCTTCCCGCACGCGCTGATCACAGCAACGTAGCTGACTAAGGCTGACCCGTAAACTACCGTCTGCGAATGCCAATTGTCAGACTGCCCGTGCTGCTGATCCTTGCTTGAGGGTGCGCTGTTTGCTCGATGATTCTGACGGCGTCCAGAGTAGCGCTAGCAGTGTCAGCAGCAGCTCCTCCTCCTCCTCCTCCGCCCTTTCTTCCTCCTCGTGCCTGGCTCGTCCTCGTCCTCGTCGTCCTCCTCCTCCTCGTCGTTATTGGCCTGTCTTCGTCCTTCGACTCCTGCTGCTGCTCCTCCTCCTCGTCCTCTTCTTCCCCCTACAACCAGCAACAAGATAGGACAGGCGCCCGTGCTCTCTGGCGCTGACGCCGAACTGCTGCCGAGGTTGCTCGCGCTTCCTCCTCCAGGAAATCGTGCGGTTCCGACCCCGCGGGCAGGAGCGCCTTTGTCGGAGGAGAGCGACGACGGGGATGAGAAGGAGGAGGCGCACGATAATCTGACAAAAACAACCACACCTCTTGGGCACGCTCGGCGCGGGAAGGGTCGCAGAAACAGCGTTTCCGGGTGGCCGCAGCTGGATCTGACAGCTATCTTCTGCAACCCCTCCCGCTCAAGAGGTGTCCCAAGAGGTGTGCGGCATGGTTTTTCAAATGAACTGGTGCTTTCTGGAGGCCCATCGGAGCAGTTCGGTGGGAGCTGCTTGAGGCCTTCGAGTAGCCCGTGGGGTACCACTGTTCTAGTGAACTGGGGCCTAGTAGGAGTAGGAGCATGTCCAAGCTGTTTCGAGGGAGCTGCTGGAGGCTTTCCGGGAGCCGCTGGGGAACGTCCCGGAGGCCGTCTTGGAGCCTCTGGGGGCTCTCTTGGGGGCTTGCTGGCCGTGGGAGGGGCGGGATGGGGAGGGAACGCTCCAGAGTTGGCCTGGGCCTCCCTTGGGGCCGTCTTGGGAGGCTGTTCGGTCGCCTTTGGAGTCCCCGGGGCCGTCGTAGGGGCTCTCTTGGGAGCTCCCAGGGCGCCCTCTGGAGGAATTGGGAGGCTGTGGGAAACTTCTCGGGGCGGGTTGGGCGTCTTGTGGCCAGTGCAGCGATCGCAAGCGGAACTGTGGATCGATACCTTTGCGTCGTCGTGGCCCCCGGAGGCCATCTGGGAGCCCGGCTGAGCCAGCCGAGCGCCTCCTCGGGCCGTCTGGGAGGCCTCTTGCGCTGCAGGGCAGAGGAGCGCTCCGGGGGCCTCCGGGGGGCACTCGCGGGGCTCGTCCCCGGGCCAGAGCCCGCGGCCTTCCAGGAGAGAGAGCGTGGCCGCGGAGGCGCCCGCCCCGCCGCGGGCCCGGCAGGCGCAGCCAGTGTGTCCTTCTGGCACGCGCTGGGCCTGGTATTGCAGTGCAGGTGACGTCGGCCTCCTCGGGCCCCCTTGGGGTCTCTTGGGGGGCCCCTTGGGCCCTCTGGGTCCATCTTCGGGCTCTCTTGGGCCCGTCTGGGGCCCCTCTCCTGTGATCTCTTGGGCCGTCGTGGGGCCCAGCTGATGACGTCGGCCTCCAGCTTCGCCTCCCGCATCTCGCTCAGCAGCGCCAGCGCCCGCCGCCACTGCTCGCCCTTCTTGCACGCGCCGATGCCAGCATTGTAGCTGACTAGGGCTGACCCGTGGACTCCGTCCACGACATCTTTCTGGAATGGTTCTCGGAGGAACGGCGCAGATTGCACCGAAAATCTACAAACACGGCGGCGGCTCGGGCGGCGGCAGTGAGACCGCGCCTTCGTGTCCGAGCTCTTGCAGCGCTCCAGCAGCTTGGCCCCGGCGCGCTTCTCGTTCACCCCCCTCCTATTGAGGGCAGTTTCGAAGTCTCTCGGGGATGTGCGTCGAAGTCGAAGCTCATCTGAGGCGTCTCAGGAGCGTCTGGGGAAGGGCTCGGGAGGCCATCGGGGACAACCACCGAAAGCGCCGGGGAGCGCAAGGATCTACAGGGAGGGCCCCAGAGAGCTTAAATAAAATTTGAAATTCAATCACATCTTAACAGAAACCGCTGTTGGGTCGGCCATCACCTCCGGGCACGCCTTGATGGTGCGATCCAGTCGCATCGCCGCCAACGGGAGGGTTTGTTCGCCAAGTCCCATTCTGCTCGCCCAGAGGGTCTGTGGTCCGAAGAGTGCGGAGAGGTGCCTGGGTCATATCAGTTGGCTGCTGTCCCAGGGGTCCGGTCTGCTTCGCCCGAAGAGTTCGCCAAGGCCCCTGGGGGAACAGAATGGCACAGCATATCGGGCAAAAGGGGGCGGTATCTGGCCTGTCAGACCCGGCGTTCGTCTTCTGCCCAAGCGGCGCGGGCCCACGGGCCCCAGGGTTGGCTGCCCGCTGGGTTTCCCATTGTTCGCCCACAGGGTTGGAGGAGGCCTCCAGGTGAACAGAATGGGGCAGGACAATGAATGTGGGAGACTTGTCGCAAGCTCCCAGCCCCCACAAGTGTTCGCCCGAAGGGTGTGGGGCCGTGTTGGTTCCCTCAAAGGGCCGCCTTGAAGCCGTCTGGGCCCGTCTTGAGGGCGCCGTTTGCCGTGATGGGGCCGTTTTGGTTCGTCGTGGCCCCCTCATGGGCGCGTCCGTAGGCCGTCCTGGGCCCATCGGGGTCCTTGTTGGCACTATCTTGGGGCTGTCTTGGAGCCGTCTGGGGCCGTGAGGGGGCCGCCTTGGAGTCGTCTTGGGCCCCTCCTGTGCGCCTCCTTGATCCGTCCTGGGCCCAGCAGGGACCGCGTTGACACCCTCTTGGGGCTGTCTTGGAGCCGTCTTGAGCCGTCGCAGCGCGCCTTGGGTTGTGCTGGGTCCGTCTTGGCCCGTCTTGGGGACTTCCTGTGCGTTTCCTCGGACCCTCCTGGAACTTTCTGGGGCCTCTTGGGGCATCCGACCGTCGAAACGGCGGGAAACGAAAGGCTGTAACAATAAACAATGGAAAAAACGATGTTCGCCAGCTGGGGATCTCTTGCCATCTTGGCCCGTCTTGAGGCCCCGACTGGGCGCCTCCTTGGGCCGTCCTGGGCCTATCTGTGGCCGTGTTGGCACCCTCCTGGGACCGTCTTGGAGTCGTCTTGGGCCGTCTTGAGCGTGCCTGGGGCCCGTCTGGGGCCGTGTTGGCACCCTCGTGGAGCCGTCTTGGAGCCGTCTTGGGCCGTCTTCAGCGCGCCTTGGGCCGTGCTGGGGCGGTCTTGGCCCGTCTTGGGGCCCTCTTGGGAGCCTCCTGGGGGCGTTTTGGGTCCTTTTGGGGTGGCCTTGAAGTCTTCGAGGGCTGCTTCGAGTGTCCGAAAGCTGAATTGGCGGCAAGCGGGAAATCTTTGGAAAAGCCTAAGGCAACAAACGATTTTGACCTCTCGGGACCCTCTTGTGAGGCCTTTTGGAGGCCTCTCAGAGCGCCTTGGCCCTCGCTTGGGTCGTGTCGTGCCCATTTGGGGGTCCTCGTGGACGCTCTGTGGGGCTTCCCAGGGCGTGCAAGGACCGTCTGGGGCTCTCATGGCGCCGTGTGGGGCCCTCATGGTGCCATCTGGGGAGCCTCCAAGGGCCCTGGAGCGCCCGAAGGGCTCGCGGAGCGCTCCAGGGCGCTCTGGACCGCTCCCCAAAAAACAAGCATGGAAGGGCCCCAGAGCGTTGAAAACAGCTCTTGTGGGCATGCGGTCCGGCCCTCGTCCGCCCCCCTCGCGGCCCCGTCGCCTCGAGGCAGTTTTGAAGCCCCGTGGGACCTCTTGGGGACCTCTTTTGGGCTCCTGGGGGCCTCTTGGGCCTCTCTGGGCCCGTCTATCGCGCCCCTTGGGCTGTCTTGGGGCCCCCTAGGGCCTTCTTGGGCGGTCCTCGGGCCGTCTTGGAGCCGTCTTGGGCCGCTCTTCGGGCCATCTTGGGGTCTCGTTGGCCTGTCTTGGGCGCCTCTGGGGCCGTCCTGGGGCCGCCCTGGACCGTCTTGGGGCCCTCTTGGACCGTCTTGGGGTCCTCTTGGGGACCACTTCGACCGTCTTGGAGCGGTCTTGGATGCCTCTGGGGGAGTTTCGGAGCGTCGGGAAGCCGAAAAAGCGAGGAAGCAAAAAACCTAGGAAAAACAAATGAAAATCAACGATTTTGGCATCTCGGGGCTCTCTTGGGAGGCCTCTTGGGAGGCCTATTGGGCCGTCTTGGGGAGCTCTTGGGCCGTCTTGGGCCAATCTTGGGCGTCTTGGCCGGATCGTTGCGCGTCTCGGGGCCCTCTTGGGCCGCCTTCGGGGCATCTTGAGCGGCTCGGACCCGTCTTTGGGCCGTCGGGGCGGCCTCCGGAGCGCCTCGGAGCCGTCCCGGGGCCGCCTGGGCGCCGAGAGCCCCCAGGCTCTTCCCGACCCTTCCCGCATGCACGTGCTCCTGCAATGTAGTAGAGACTAAGGCAGACCTGTGGACTCCGTCCACGACATCAGCTCGACGTGGCGAGGGGTCTCTGGGCAAGCGCGGGGGGTGCGGCTGCAGGGCCGAAAGGCAATCATGATGCCGGTCGCCTCTCGTCCGCTCCCCCCCTCCTGGAAGCAATTCTGAGGCCACTTAGGGCTTCGTGGGAGCCGTTTGGGGATCTCTTGGGGTGTTTTTGCCTGCGATATGCCTGTCGCCTCTCGTCCGCTCCCCCGCTCCTGGAGGGAATTCTGAAGCCACTGAAGGCTTCGTGGGGGCCGTTTCGGAACCTCTTCGGCCTTCTTTTGGGCCTCCCGGGGGGGCTCTTAGGGCCCTCTCGGGCCGTCTTGGGTGCCTCTTGGGCCGTCTTGGGGCCGTCTGAGGCCCGCCTCGGCGCCTCTTGGGCTGTCTTGGGCCGTCTTGGGCCGCTCCTGGGGCCGCCTCTTGGGCGCCTCCTGGGCCGTCCTGGGGCGTCCTGGGGCGTCTTGGGACCGTCTTGGGGCCCTCCTGGCCCGTCTTGGGGCTCTCTTGGGGTCCTCTTCGGCCGTCTTGGAGCGGTCGGGGGGACTTCTTGGGCCGTCTTGGAGCGTCGGGAAGCCGAAGAGGCGAGGAGGCCGAAAACATAGAAAAACACAATAGAAATCGACGATTTCTGTCGCTCGGGGCCCTCTTGGGAGGCCTCTTGGGAGGCCTCTTCGGGCGTCTTGGACGCCTCTTGGGCCGTCTGGCGCGAATCTCGGGCGTCTTGGGCCCATCTTTAAGCGTGCCGGGGCTTTCCGGGGCCGTCTTGGGGGCTTCTGGGGGCCCTCTCGACATGTCCTGGAGCCTGCCTGGGCGGCCCGGGGCGGCCTGGGGCCAGCCCGGGGCGGTTTTGACTCATTGGAGCCTGCGCCCTTCTGGCACGCACTGGGCCCTGCAATGTAGTAGAGACGAGGGCGAACCTGCGGACTTCGTCCACGTCGTCTTGGGCCACTCTTTGCTCGAAGTGGCCGCCTTGCGCCGGTCTTGGCTCGAAATGGCGAGAAGGTGGAAATCTTTCAAGAACCATGGGCCGCGGCTCGACTGAACGGCCTCTGGGGCCGTGTAGGGGCCATGTTGTGGGTGTTGGGCCGTTTCGGAGCTCCCTGTGAGCCCTCTTTGGCGGCTCTTGGGGCCCGTCTGGGGGCTCCTGGGGGCTCTCTCGCGCCGTCTTGGGTCTCTCTTGGGCCTTTTTGGGATCCTCCGGGAACCCGTCTTGGAGCACTCCTGGGCCGTCTTGGGGCATTTGCTGGAGCCTCTTGAGCCTTGGAGCATTCGTGGGGGGCCCAGGAGCCGTCTTGGGCCGCTCTTAACTCGAAATCTCGAGAGCCTGCAAATCAGGCGAAAACCATATAATAATCAATGATTCTTGGTCGCCGCGAGCCATCTGGACGGCCTCTTGGGCCGTCTTGGCACCATGTGGGACTCTTGGGCTGTCTCGGAGCTCTCCGAGAGCCCTCTTGGGCGGCTCTTGGGGCCCGTTCAGGAGCTCGGACTATGGAGGCTCTCTCGCGCCGTCTCAGGACTCGCTTGGGCCGTCTTGGGCTCCTCCAGGAGCTGTCTAGGAGACCTCCTGAGCCGTCTTGGGGCACTTGCCGGAGCTCTTGGGAGGCCTTGGAGCGTTCGGGGGGGCCCCAAGAGCCATCTTGGCCCACTCTTGGCTCGAAATCGTGAGAACCTTAGAATCAATCAAAAACCATAGAAGAATTAATGATTTTTGGCCGCCGCGAGCTGTCTGGACGGCCTCCGGGGCCGTCTTGGAGCCATGTTGAGGCTCTTGGCCCGATCTCAGCGCTCACTGAGGCGTCCCGAAGCGTGCTCGAGCCGCAAGGAGGCACGCCAGGGGCGCCAGGGGCCCGCTGAGGCCGCGCCAGGTGCCCGCCGAGGCCGATATTAGATACTCGAACTATTTCCCTTCCCGCACGCGCTTCCCCGGGCGATTCAGGAATCGGCCCGAGATGGCTCATGGCGCCCTTCGCTTCTGAGAGCCCCTGTGTGAAGGGCTGGTCACGTCACCGCTCGCTCGTGGGAGCTGCGCCTGGGAGAGCTCTCTACGCTGCGGCTCGCTCTTGGGAGCCTTGGTGAGAAGAGCTTTGTACTTCACCGATCGCTCTTTTAATGGGCGTCTCTGGGCCTGCTTGGTGGTCCTTGTGGGGGCCTTTTTCGGGCCATTCTGAAGATTTTTTGGGCTGCTGTGGGAGCGTTTTGGGACGCTTTTTTGGGCCATTTTGGGCCGTCACGGGGCGTCCGGGAGGCCTTGGACCGTCTTGGAGCTCTCTTGAAGCTGCCTGAGGCCGTCTTGGGAGCCTCTTAGGGCCCCCTCGGAGCTCTCTTGGGGGCGTCTTGGGGTTCTGTGAAGCCATTTCAAGGTTCTGTGGCGTCGTCTTGGGGCTCTTGTGGGCCGTCTTGGAGCCCTCTTAGGGGCAGCTGGCGTCTTCTTGGGGCGATTTGGGAGGCCTCTTGGCGTGTCCTGGGCCGCTGAAGAGCACACAAGGCGGGCATGCTGAAAATATACGTTTTCCATCGGAATTTGACGATTTGTGCCTCTTTGGCGTGCGCTCGGGGCTCTCTTGGGGTGTCTTTGCGGCCTCTTGGATCGTCGTGGAGCCCCCCCGGAAGGCTTCGGGCCCTCGTGGGCCGTCTCGGGACCCACTGAGGCCGCCTTGGAGCGCTCTTGGACGGTCTGGGAACCCCTCTGGAGCGCCCCTGGGACCGGCCTGAGCGATTCAGCCCCGTGGTGGCGCCGAAAATGGGCGATTTTGTGCACACGAGGCCCTGAACAATTCTCGCACGCGCTTCCACTGGCCATGTAGGAGAGACTAGGACTGACCTGCGGCATTCTGGCCGCGGAATCTGCCCGCCATGGTGTGGACGTAGAAGTGGAGCGTGTCCAAGGCCGCGCGGGGGGGGAAGGGTTGGAGGGGACGGTGTGGATGGAGGAGGTGGCCGCTGGAGGGGGAGGTGGGCGAGGGATGCAGGCAGGCAGGCCCGAGGGCAGGAACGCGGTGGTGGAGGCGGTGTCCATGAGGCGCACCCGCGCAGGCACGACGCGGTGTGGACAGCAGCTGTGTCTCACGCCGTGCCCTGTGTTCGTCATAGCTTCCACGACATCTGCTCGAGGTCGTGAGCGGTGTCTGGGCAAGCGTGCTCGCACCTGCCCGGTGCCTCTGACAGCCGCCTGCTGCTGCGGAGTGCTGCCTGCTGCCACTTGCGGTCTCTCGCCTGGGCTTTCCTCTGCTGCTGCCTGCGGCAACGGCTTGTTACGGACTGGTGCACGTGCCAGGTTTTGCCGGGTGGTGGATGCTGCCGCCTGCCTGCTGCTGTTTGCTGCAGGATGCTGCTTGGTACTGGTGATGTCAATGCGTGCTGCTGCGGCAGCTGCTGCTCGCCGTTGATTCTGTTCCCTGCTGCTGGATCCTCCTTCTCTTTCTCCGTCCCTCCACCCTTCTCCCCCTCGATGTTCTATCGTACCAGTCGTCGTTTCTACGACGATGCTTTTAAGAGCACAAGCATCCAGGGCCTCTGGGGGCTTCTGTTTGCCTCTTGAGGGTCTCTTGGGCTGTCCCAGCGCTCTCGGGCGCCTCTCGATCAGTCTTGGGGTCGTCTTGGGCCCCTTGGGCCGCTCTTCGGGCTCTCTTGGGGTTCTCTTGGGCCGTCTGGGCGTCGTTGGGGCCGTTCTGGGGCCGGCTTGGGGCGTCTTGGGGTCGTCTTGGAAGGCTTCTGGGGCGTCTTGGGGCAATTTGAAATGGTTGCAGTGTGTCGAGGGCTGACCTTTAGGCCCTGTCCACGAAAGCAAGGATGTCAGCGTGTGTCTGCTGTCGCTTGTTGCGCTCGGTTGCTTGCTGCCGTTTCATTGCCAATGCACGCGCGATTTGTTTAGTTTGCACCGTCTTGCCGTTCGCGTGATGCTTGCTCGATGTTTGCTTGCAGGTCCTGCGGGTTGTTCCTGTCTGCCAGGGCCCTCGGAACGTGGAAAACAACTCCTTCGGGCGTGCGATGAGCCTCTCGCCTCTTGTCCGCTGCCCGTGTCTTGAGAGCGGCTTTGGAGCCTCTTCTGGGGGCCTCCTGGAAGCCGTTCGGGGGGCCTCTTAAGGGTCTTTTCGGCCGTCTTGGGGCTGTATCGGGTTGCTCTGGGGCCGTCTAGGGGCCTCTCGGGCTATCCTGGGCGCCTCCTGGGCCATCTTGGAGCCTTCCTGGGTGGTTGTGGGGCCTTTCCCGGATCCTCTTGGACGGCCTTGGAGCGTTCAGGGGAGCCCTAGCAGCCGTCTTGGGCCGGTCTTGGCTCGAAATGGCGAGAAGGTGGAAATCTTTCAAAAACCATAGGGAAATCAATGATTTCGTTTGCCGCGGTCTGGACGGCCTCTGGGGGGCCGTGTAGGGGCCATACTGGGGGTGCTGGGCCGTCTCGGAGCTCTCCGTGAGCCCTCTTGGGCGGCACTCGGGGCCCGTCTGGCTCCTGGGGGCTCTCTCGCGCGGTCTTGGGTCTCTCTTGGGCCGCTTTGGGCTCCTCCGGGAGCCGTCTTGGAGCACTCCGGGAGCCGTCTTGGGGCCATTGCCGGAGTCTCTTGAGCCTTGGAGCGTTCGTGGGGGGCCCAGGAGCCGTCTTGGGCCGCTCCGAGCTCGAGATCGCGAGAACCTGAAAGTCAGGCAAAAACCGATAGAACAGTCAAGGAATGATTTCTGGCCGCCGCGAGCCGTCTGGACGGCATCTGGGACTGTCCCGGGGCCACGCTGGGGCTCTCGGCCCGATCTCGGCGCTCCCTGCAGGCGTCCCGAAGCGTGCTCGAGCCGCCCGGAGGCACGCCGGGCCGCGCCGGGGGCGCCAGGGGCCCGCGCAGGCCGCGCCAGGGGCCCGCCGAGGCCGATCTTGGAGATACTCGATCCGTTCCCCTTCCCGCACGCGCTTACCGGGGATGGACAGACCTCCCTTTAGTAAAACGTGGTTTAGTGAAAACGACTTCGGGCCCAAACCTGGCGGGCGCAAGCCTGGAAAATAACGGCCACGGAGCCATCTTGAGAACCGAAAACGGACAATTCACTAATCGACGTGTCACTGTTGGGGGTTCTGTCTACCACCGATATTGCCCCGGCCATGCAGGAGAGACTGGTGTGAACCCGTGGAAAGTCCACGGCCGGCCGGTGAAGGTGTCAGCCTCGAACTCGTGGGGCGGAGCCGCGTGGACGGCTACGGCGCGCCTCGGGAATCGCTTTTGGGAGCTCCGTGGGAACAGTGGCGATCTCTTCCTGGGACTGCTCCGGAGCCGTCCGTGGGCAAGTGTCGGAGTCGTGTGGGGGACCCTGGGGTATGTCGGAGTGGTCTCGGGAGTGCTCTTGGGAGCTGCGTGGGAACTGCCGGAGGCTCCTGGGAGTCTGGGATGTAGCTTGGAGCGGCCTGGGGCCCGCATTGGGGTCGGGGGCTTTCGTGGCGACGTCCGTCTGGGGCTTGGGAAGCTGCAGAGAGGGCGCCGTGGCTGGAGGCGCTCTCCGTGGGTGCCATGAGGTAACTGTCGGAGTCTCCTCAGAGACGCTGGGGCATCTGGGAGTGGCGCTTGGAGGGTTCAGGGCCCGGTGGCCGCTGCGAGAAGGCCGCCTCGTGGGGTCCGTTGGAGCCCTCCGAGGGGGTCTTTCTCGAGCCCGTCGGGGCCCTCTTGGGCCACTGGGGAGCTCTCTGGGGCTGTCTCAGGGGCTACTTGGGGGCTGTGGGAAACCTGTGGTCTGGGCTCCGTTGGAGCTCTCCTGGGGGTCTCACTGGAGCTCCTCGGGGCCCTCTGGGCTGACTTTGGGGATCTCTTGGGCGGTCCAGGGGGCCCCTGGGGCCGTCCTGGGGCCATGGTCGGGGTCTCGGGCCATGCTGGAGCTCTCTCTGGGGCCTCCTCGGCGGCTCCTGGGACTCCATCGGGCTGTCGTAGGGGCCAACGGGGGTTCTATGTGGCTGTCTGGGGCCTCTCTTGGGCAGTCATGGGGCCGTTTGGGGCCGTCATGGGGTAGTCAGCCGAAGCACGGAGACCGTCTTGTCTGGGATGGGCCTCGAGCCGTCTAGGGCTATTCTAGGCGCCGTCCGTCCGGCCCCCCTCCGGGGGGCCATCCTGGGGCAAGCTTGGGGTCTCTTGGGGGCCCCCTTGGGCCCTCCAGGTCCATCTTCGGGCTCTCTTGGGCCCTGTCGGGGCCGTCTTCGGGGCCCTTGTGCATCATGGGGCCTCGTGGGCCCGTCTGGGGCCCCTCTCCTGTGACCTCTTGGGCCGTCGTGGGGCCCAGCTGATGACGTTGGGCTCCAGCTTCGCCTCCCGCATCGCGGTCAGCAGCGCCAGCGCCCACTGCCACTGCTCGCCATTCCCGCACGCGCTGATCCCAGCATTGTAGCTGATGGCGACGACGGCGGCGGCGGCGGCGACGGTGGCTGCAGGAGCAAGGGTCTGGGCATGTGCGCGGAGAGGGGTATGGATGGAAGGCATGGGCGGAAGAGAGAAGCGATGCAAGAGAGAAATAATGCGGCGCCTGGGCGTAGCCCAAGTAAACCAGAAAGAGAGTTGCTCCAGCGTCCAATCGTCGGACCTCTCGTGCACCTGGGCGTCTGAGCCGCCTCTGAGCGGCCGCAGTGCAGGGCACGATAGCACGAGGGACGGGACCGTCGTGGGCCGCGACGTCTGTCATCCCCGCGGAGGGGAGCGCCTCGCAAGTGCCCCAAAAGACAAGCATCCAGGGCCTTCGGAGCCTGAAAAACATGTGTCTGGGCGTGCGATAAGCCGTATAAGAGACAGTTTTGAAGCCTCTCGGGGCATCTCCGGGACCGTTTGGGATCCTCTTGGGGCTTCTTTTCGGCGTCTTGGAGGCCTCTCGGGGCCCTCTTGGGCTGTCTTGGGCGCCTCTTGGGCCGTCATGGGTGCCTTTTGGACCGTCCTGGGGTCTTCTTGGGTCGTCTTGGAGCCCCTCTCGGGAGCCTCTTGGGGCTTTTCGGGGCAGTCTGAAGGAACTGTACTGCCGTCGTGGACACTGTGAAGGCGGGGAAAAAGATAATGCTAACGACAAACGTTTTCCGAAGGATTGGGAGGCATTTTGCTTCTTGGGGCCCTCGTGGGGGTCCTCTCAGAGCCCACTTGGGGCGTCTCGGGGGCCTCTCGGGCCGCCTTGAGGTTATCTTGGGCGTCTCGGGGCGCCCTCGGGACGGTCTTTGAAGCCATCCTGGGACCGTCTGAAATCGCATTTGGCCATTTTGGGGCCAGGAGGAACCGAAGAAAGGCCACGGGGGCGTCGCAGAACCGTTGCAGGCAGAGCGTCGCGGGGCCGGGAAGAGCCGAAACAGGACACTTGATCCACAGGATCTTCTGGCACGCGCGGGCGCCTTCATTGTAAAAGAAATGGCGTTGGACTCCAGATTCAACTCGTGCATCTCGCTCAGCAGCGCCAAAGCCCGCTGCCACTGCTCGCCCTTCTCGCACGCGCTGATCCCAGCGCTGTAACTGATGACGTCGGGCTCCAGCTTCGCCTCACACATCTCGCTCAGCAGAGCTAAAGCCCGCTGCCACTGCTCGCCCTTCTCGCACGCGCTGATCCCAGCATTGTAGCTGACTAGGGCTGACCCACGGCCTCCGGCCGCGGAATTTGCCCGCCCTGGCGTGGACGTGGAAGTGGAGCGTCTCTGGGGCCTCGCGGGTAAGGGGAGGTTGGAGGGGACGGCGTGGATGGAGGAGGTGGCCGCTGGAGGGGAAGGTGGGCGAGGGATGCAGGCAAGCAGGCCCGAAGGCAGGAACGCGGTGGTGGAGGCGGTGTTAGTGGAATCACACCCATGTAGGCATGACATGGTGTGGGCAGAAGCTGTTTCTGACGCCGCAGTCTGTGTTCATCATAACTTCTGCGGGGAAGGCAGCCGTGAGAAGTTTATCTGCTCTTCGCTGGGGCCGAATGGTCATTTCATCTGGCAGTGTGGTGGCAATGGGGCCAGTGGGCGCGGCCTAGGAGGCCCGCAAGAGGGCGGCGAGACGGAACTCCCTAAGAAGGGCCCCAGTGCGAGGACACGAATCGACTTTTCGAGCGCACCTCCCCAAGACGACCCCAAATAGCGCAGAGATGGCTCCAAGAGGGTCCAAGAAGCCTCCAAAGCGATGCTGGAAGTTCGACGCTCCCCAAGAGAGAAGCATCCAAGGCCTCTCGGGGGCCGCTTGGGGGCCTCTTTTCGTCCTCCTGGGGGTGGGTCTCTCGGAGCCCTCCTTGGCAGTCTTGAGTGCATCTTGGGCCGTCTTGGGGCGTTGTGGGGCCGTCTTGGGCGCCTCTCGGACCATCTTGGGACAATCTTGGGGCCATCTTGGGCAATATTGGGCGCTACTGGGGCTGTCTTTCGTGTTTCTTGAGCCATCTCGGGCGCCTCTGGAGCCGTCCCGGACGGCCCAGAGACCGTTTTGGAGACTGTCCAAACGGAAAGGCTTGGAGACGGGGCGACGGGGGCCTCTACAGCCGTCTTGGAGACGGGGTGGTGGAGCCGTCTTGGGCCATCATTAACTGCTCTTGGGGCTGTCTTGGGTGCGTCTTGGGCCATCTCGGGCGCCTCTGGAGCCGTCCCGGGGCAGTGTGTGGCCCTTTGGGCGCCCTCATGGGGGCGTCTTGGCGCGTCTTGGGGCGAGCTGGGGGGCCTGTATTGCCTTCTGGACGCTGCGAGGACGAACAAGCAATACACACATATACATATATATATATATATATATATGTATATCTATATGCATACATACATACATACATACATACATACATGCATGCATGCATGCATACATACATACATACATACATACATACATACACACATACACACATACACATACATACACATACATACACACACATACACATACACATACATACATACATACATACATACATACATACATACATACAAACACACACATACATACATACATCCATCCATCCATCCATTACATTACATTACATTACATTACATTACATTACATTACATTACATTACATTACATTACATTACATTACATTACATTACATTACATTACATTACATTACATTACATTTACATTACATTACATTACATTACAGCACATCACATTACATTACATTACATTACATACATTACATACATACAACCATACACACATACATACATACATACGTACATACATACGTACATACACACATACATACATACATACATACATACATACGTACACACATACATACATACATACATACATACATACATACGTACATACACACATACACACATTCACACACATAATTATACACATACACACATAATTATATATGTATATTTGTTTATTTATATATATATATGTATATTCATACACACACATATATATATATATATGTATATATAGATATGCATATACGTATGCATACATACTTACATACTTACATACTTACATACTTACATACTTACATACATACATACATACATACATACATACATACATACATACACACATTGAAGATGTGCGTTTCCCGTCGGGACTGGGAAGGTTTGGGCCTCTGGGGACTCTCCTGGAGGCCCTCCTGGGCCGTCTTGGGAGCCTCCTGGCCTGCCTTGGGGGCCTCTGGGGCTGTCGTGGGGCTCCCACGGTTGCTCTGAGGCCGTCTTGGCGCCCCGTGGAGCCTCTCGGAGCCGTCCCGTTGGCCATTCTTGGCTGCTCTTGGGGCTGTCTTGGGTGCGTCCTGGGCCGTCTCTGGCGCCTCTGGAGCCGTCCCGGGGCCGTGTGGGGCCTTTTGGGGGCCTCTGGGCGCGTCTTGGGGCGAGGTGGAGGGCGTGTATTGCTGTCTTGGACGCTGCGAGGACGAAAAAAACGGAACATAGCGAAAATGTGCGTTTCCCGTCGGGAATGGGACGGTTTGGGCCTCTTGGGGCTCTCCTGGATGCGCTCCTGGGCCGTCTTGGGAGCCTCCTGGCCTGCCTTGGGGGCCTCTGGGGCTGTCGTGGGGCTCCCACGGGTGCTCTCAGGCCGTCTTGGCGCCCCCTGGAGCCTATCGGAGCCGTCCCGTTGGCCATTCTTGGCTGCTCTTGGGGCTGTCTTGGGTGCGTCCTGGGCCGTCGGGGCCGTGTAGGACCCTTTGGGGGGCCTCTGGGCGCGTCTTGGGGCGAGGTGGAGGGCCTGTATAGCCGTTTGGGAGCCCTCCTGGGGTGCTCTGGGGGCGTCTTTCGGCGATCGGGAAGGCCTGTATAGCCGTCTTGGACGCGGTGAAGACGAAAAGAGCGAGCATATAAAAAATGCACGTTTTCCGAAGCGAATGGGGCAATTTTTGCCTCTTGGGTCCCTCCTGGGGGTCCTGGCTTGGGGTCCTCTGGGACCGGCTTGGGCGCCTCTTGGGCCATCTTGGGGATCCCTGGGCCGTCTGGGGATGCGCTTGGAAGCCTCTTGGGCCGTCCTGGAGCGGTCTTGTGGGTGTCTTCGGCCGTCTTGGAGCGTCGGCTAGCCGAGAAGGCTCCTTCAAAAACCATTGAACAATTCATGATTTTGGTCTCTGGGGGCATGCTTTGGAGTACTGTTGGATGCTCTTGGAGGCCTCTTGGGGGGGTCTTGGGGCCTTGTGTCGGCGTATGGGGGCCCAGGGCTCGGAATGTCGGGTTTTTTCCCCGTTCTTTGGCCCCCTCTTGGGCCTGGCTTGGGGTCCTCTGGGGCCGGCTTGGGCGCCTCTTGGGCCATCTTGGGGCTCCCTGGGCCGTCCGGGGACGCGCTTGGAGGCCTCTTGGGCAGTCCTGGGGCGCTGTATTGGTTCTCTCCGGCCCTCGTGGAGCGTCGGCTAGCCGAGAAGGCGAGAAGGCAAAATTCCTTCCAAAACCATTGATGAGAAATAAAAGATTTTGGCCTCTGGGGGCATGCGTCGGGGTACTGTTGGAGGCTCTTGGCGGCCTCTTGGGGGGGCCTTGGGGCCTTGTGTGGGCGCCTGGGGGCCTAGGACTCGGAGTGTCAAGATTTTTCCCCGTGCTTTGGTCCCCTCTTGAGCCTGGCTTGGGGTCCTCCAGGGCCGTCTTGGGCGCCTCTTGGGCCATCTTGGGGCTCCCTGGGCCGTCTGGGGACGTGCTTGGAGGCCTCTTGGGCCGTCCTGGGGCGGTGTTGTGGTTCTCTCCGGCCGTCGTGGAGCGTCGGCTAGCCGAGAAGGCGAGCAGGCAAAATCCCTTCAAAACCATGGACAAATTACGGATTGTGGCCTCTGGGGACATGCTTCGGAGGACTATTAGAGTTTCTTGGAGGCCTGTAGAGCCTTGGTGGGGTCCTCTGGGGGGCCTCGTGGGCCTTGTTGGGGGCCTATTGGAGTCTCTTGGAGGCCTGTAGAGCCTTGGTGGGGTCCTCTAGGGGGCCTCGTGGGCCTTGTTGGGGGCCTCTAGGGGGCTTCTTGGACGCTCCCTTCTCTGATGGCCACTTCGGCGCGTCTTTGGGGGGAGGGCTCGATTTATGACGCTCGGGGGCCAGGATCTGCATGAGGGGTGTCGAAAAATGGCCCTCCAGGGAGGGCAAAGTGCACGACCTTTTCGCACGCGCTTCCATCTGCCATAGGGCTGACCCGTGGACTCCGTCCACGACATCTTTCTGGAATGGTTCTCGGAGGAACGGCGGAGATTGTGCCGCAAATCTATAAGCACGGCGGCGGCTGGGGCGGCGGCAACGAGACCGCGCCTTCGTGTCCGAGCTCTTGCAGCGATCCAGCAGCTTGGCCCCGGCGCACGGCTTGTTCATCCCCCCTATTGAAGGTAGTTTTGAAGTCTCTCGGGGATGTGCGTCAAAATCGAAGCCCATCTGAGGCGTCTCAGGAGCGCCCAGGGAAAGGCTCGGGAGGCCCTCGGGGAAAGCCACCGAGAGCGCCGGGGAGGCTCGAAAGGATCTCCAGGGAGGGCCCAAGATAACTTCAAGAAGGTTTGAAATTCAGTAAGATCTTAACAGAAAACGCTGTTGGGTCGGACGTGCTCCGCTACGTTGGGGAGGCCGTTTTGTTGGAGTTCTGTTGAAGGCGAGGCTCTCTCGGGCGTGCCAAGAACGCTGGGCCCCTTCTCTTGGAGGCAGTTTTGAAGCCTCTTTGGGCCTTTTGGGGGTTGAGGGCCTCTCAGGTTCTCTTGTGGGCCTCTTCGGGACCTTCTGGGGCCCTTTTGGGCTGTCTGGGCTCCTCTTGGGGCCACGTTCAGAGCTCCGTCTCTGAGCCGTCTTGGGACCCCCTGGAGCAGTCTCGGAACGCCAGCGGGGCGACTCGCAGGGCGCCCCGCGGCCTTTCGGGATAGAGGACCTTCTCGCACGCAAAGGTCGCTGCATTGCAGAAGAGATGACGTTGGGGTCCAGCTTCGCCTCCCGCATCTCGCTCAGCAGCGCCAGCGCCCGCTGCCACTGCTCGCCCTTCTCGCACGCGCTGATCCCAGCGCAGTAGCTAATGACGTCGAACTCCAGCTTCGCCTCACGCATGTCGCTCAGCAACGCCAGCGCCGGCTGCCACTGCTCGCCCTTCTCGCACGCGCTGATCCCGGCATTGTAGCTGACTAGGGCAGACCTGTGGACTCCGTCCACGACATCAGCTCGACGTGGCGAGGGGTCTCTGGGCAAGCGCGGGGGGGTGCGGCTGCAGGGCCGAAAGGCAATCATGATGGCGTCGGGCTCCTCCTCCTCCTCCTCCTCCTCCTCCTCCTTTTCCACCTTCTTCTCCTCTTTCGCTGGATTCTCCATGCCCTCGGTCGGCAATCGTCGATCCTACGACGACTCTCCCCAACAGAGAAACATCGAAGGCCCTCGGAGCGTCCAACATTGTTCTTTTGTGCCTTCGATATGCCGGTCGCCTCTCGTCCGCTCCCCCGCTCCTGGAAGGAATTCTGAAGGCACTGAAGGCTTCGTAGGGGCCGTTTCGGAGCCTCTTCGGCCTTCGTTTGGGCCTCGCGGGGGGGCTCTTAGGGCTCTCTCGGGCCGTCTTGGGTGCCTCTTGGGCCGTCTTCGGGCCATCTGAGGCCCTCCTTGGCGCCTCTTCGGCTGTCGTGGGCCGTCTTGGGCCGCTCCTGGGGCCGTCTTGGGTGCCTCTTGGGCCGTCTTGGGCGCCTCCTGGGCCGTCCGGACGCCGTCCTGCGGCGTCTTGGGACCGTCTTGGGGCCCTCCTGGCCCGTCTTGGGGCTCTCTTGGGGTCCTCTTCGGCCGTCTTGGAGCGGTCGGGGGGGCGTCTTGGGCCGTCTTGGAGCGTCGGGAAGGCGACGAGGCGAGGAGGCCGAAAACATTGACAAACACAATAGAAATCGACGATTTCTGTCGCTCGGGGCCCTCTTGGGAGGCCTCTTGGGAGGCCTCTTCGGGCGTCTTGGACGCCTCGAGGGCCTCCTGGGGCGAATCTCGGACGTCTTGGGCGCTCTTGGGCTGTCTTGGGCCGTCTTGGGCCGCTCCTGGGGCCGTCTTGGGTGCCTCTTGGGCCGTCTTGGGCGCCTCCTGGGCCGTCCTGGGGCCGTCCTGCGGCGTCTTGGGACCGTCTGGGGGCCCTCCTGGCCCGTCTTGGGGCTCTCTTGGTATCCTCTTCGGCCGTCTTGGAGCGGTCGGGGGGGCGTCTTGGGCCGTCTTGGAGCGTCGGAAAGCCGACGAGGCGAGGAGGCCAAAAACATTGAAAAACACAATAGAAATCGACGATTTCTGTCGCTCGGGGCCCTCTTGGGAGGCCTCTTGGGAGGCCTCTTCGGGCGTCTTGGACGCCTCGAGGGCCTCCTGGGGCGAATCTCGGGCGTCTTGGGCGCTCTTGGGCTGTCTTGGGCCGTCTTGGGCCGCTCCTGGGGCCGTCTTGGGTGCCTCTTGGGCCGTCTTGGGCGCCTCCTGGGCCGTCCTGGGGCCGTCCTGCGGCGTCTTGGGACCGTCTGGGGGCCCTCCTGGCCCGTCTTGGGGCTCTCTTGGGGTCCTCTTCGGCCGTCTTGGAGCGGTCGGGGGGACTTCTTGGGCCGTCTTGGAGCGTCGGAAAGCCGAAGAGGCGAGGAGGCCGAAAACACAGAAAAACACAATAGAAATCGACGCTTTCTGTCGCTCGGGGCCCTCTTGGGAGGCCTCTTGGGAGGCCTCTTCGGGCGTCTTGGACGCCTCGAGGGCCGCCTGGGGCGACTCTCGGACGTCTTGGGCGCATCTTTAAGCGTGCCGGGGCTCTCCGGGGCCGTCTTGGGGGATTTTTGGGACCCTCTGGACGTGTCTTGGGGCCTCCCTGGGCGGCCCGGAGCCAGCCCGGGGCGGTTTTGGTTCATTGGAGCCTGCACCATTCTGGCACGCACTGGGCCCTGCAATGTAGTAGAGATGACTAGGGCTGACCCGCGGCCTTCCAGCCGGGGAATCTGCCCGCCACGGCATGGACGTGGAAGCGGAGCGTCTCTGGGGCCTCGCAGGTGAGGGGAGGTTGGAGGGGACGGCGTGGATGGAGGAGGTGGCCGCTGGAGGGGGAGGTGGGCGAGGGATGCAAGCAAGCAGGCCTGAAGGCAGGAACGCGGTGGTAGAGGCGGTGCCAGTGGAAGCACACCCCTGTAGGCATGACGTGGTGTGGACAGAAGCTGTTTCTCACGCCGCAGTCTGTGTTCATCATAGTTTCTGCGGGGAGGGTAGCCGTGATAATTTGATCTGCTCTTCGCTGGGGCCGAATGATAATTTTATTTGGTAATGTGGTGACAGTGGGGCCGGTGGGCGCGGCCTAAGAAGCCCACAAGAGGGCGGCGAGACGGCCCAAAAGTTCTCAAGGAGGGGCCAAGAGGTTTCCCAGACGGCCCCAGAGGGCCCCACGAACTCGGGCCCCAATGCGAGGACACGAGTCGACCTTTCGAGCGCACCGCCCCAAGACGTCCCCAAAAGGCCCAGAGATGGCTGCCAGAGGTTCGAAGCCCCCAAGACGACGCTGGAAGTTCGACGCTCCCCAAGAGAGAAGGATCCAAGGCCTCTTGGGGGCCGTTTAGGGGCCTCTTTTCGTCCTCCTGGGGGTCTCTCGGGGTCCACTTGGGCCGTCTTGAGTGCCTCCTGGGCCGTCTTGGGGCGATGTGGGGCCGTCTCGGGCGCCTTTCGGACCACCTTGGGGCCGTCTTGGGGCCATCTTGGGCCAGTATTGTGCGCTCTTGGGGCTGTCCAAGGTGTTTCTTAGGCCGTCTCGGGCGCCTCTGGAGCCGTCACGGGGCCGTCTCGGGCCGTTTTGGGGTCCTCCTGGGGGCGTCTGGGAGCGTCTTGGGGCGATCTGGGGGACTGTACAGCCTTCTTGGAGACTGTGCAGATGGAAAGGCTTGGAGACAGAGCGGCGGGAGCCTGCCACCGCGCCGCCGGCCCAGAAATCCCGCCGGGCGCGCCCTCGGCGGCCGCGCGCGCTTCCAGGGTCGGCCGGGGCGACTCTGGGCCACCAGCCTTCCGGCCCAGAATCGGCGGGCCGATTCTGGGCCGCCGCGCCGCCAGCCCTGAAATCCGCCCACTGCGTCTGGGGACGGCGCGAGCGCCTCCGGGGCGGGCGGCCCTGGCCGATTCTGGGCCTCTGGCCCGCCGGCCCAGAACCGGCTATAGGTTTTGTGACGGTCCGTGTTGGGGCGGACTTGCAGGGATGCGGGGCCGTCCTGGACGCTGCGCACACCCAAAACGCGAGTGAGCCGAAGATGTACATTTTCCCACAAGAATCGGACGATTTTTGCCTCGTGGGGCCTCTCTCGGGGGCCTCTTGGGGCGGCTTGCGGGGATCTTTGGCCGCCTTTGGCCGCCCTGAGGCCGTCTCCAAAGCGAGCGAAGCTGATTTTCGGGAGCGTGGGACCGTCCGCTGAGCCATCGGGGCACTCCGAAGACTCCGAGGCGGCCCGGATGGTCCCGAGTCCCCCTGGAGGGGCCCAGAGGGGGGCCCAGAGGAGCCGGTTCGCTGCCACTCCGAGCCTCTTCCTACGCGCTGAGTCGGCCATTGTAGGAGAGATATCCCAGCATTGTCCAGGGAGGTTGAAAACAAACAAGAAATTCTAATTATTCACTGCTTGGGGCTCCCCATATGTGCATCTATTCGCATGGACCTGTCCGCCGTGTTTGTGTAGGCGCAAGAGCTTTCGAATATAAACGGGCTTCAGTCGTGACGGTCTGGTCATGCATCTAACTGCGAACGAATTGGAGTGTGAATGAGCCTCAGTAGTGCGAGCGCGTCTCTGCGCATGAGCCAGGGGCCTCTTGGGGCCTCCTGAAACCTATTGGGGCTTCCTGGGGCCTCCAGGAGCCTCTTGGGGCCTCCTGGGGCCTCCTGGGACCTCCTAGGGAGGATTCGTGCCCCAGGAGAGGCCCAATCTATAGCAACAAACGTGCATAAAACATTGCGGATTGGAGCCACAGGAGAAGGGCAATCTAGAGGAACACGCGTAAACCACCAAGGACTCGTGCCCCAGGAGAGGCCCAATCTATAGGAACATGAGTGAAACATTTAGGATTGTGTGCACACGAGAAGGACAATATATAGAAACATACGTATAGCATCAAGGATTCGTGCTCCAGGTGAGGCCCAATCTATAGGAGCATACGTAAAACACATGGGATTGGAGCCACTCCTGTTGCCTTCTGAGGCCTCCTGGCCTCCTGTTGCCTTCCGAAACCTCCTGGCGCTTCCTGTGGCCTCCTGGGGCCTCCTGTGGCTTCCTGAAGCCTCCTGGAGCTTCCTGGGGCCTCCTGGAGCCTCTTGGGACATCGTGTGGCCTCTTGAGTCTTTGTGGCCTCCTCATGCCTCCTGGGACCTCATGTGGTCTCCTGGCGCCTCCTGGAGCCTGTTGGAGCCTCCTGTGACATCCTGAGGAGAATCTGTGCCCACGAGTCAGGCCACCATAACAGGCAAACCGATCGAGACATCCTCAAAATCTGGCCCACCTGGGGGGTGAGCATGAGCGCTTCGCTCGATACATCCTCCAAATCTGCTCCGAAAGCGAAGGATGTTGGGACAGAAAACAAGCAAACCGCTTGAGACTTCCCCGCAAAACGGCTGCGAACGGGACTGTGCAATACCCCTCGGCGGCTTCCCTTATGGGGGGTGAAAATGAGCGCCTCGCTCGAGACATCCTCCAAATCTGTTCCGAAAGTGAAAGATGTTGGGACAGAAAACAAACAAACCGCTTGAGATATCCCCACCAAACAGCCGCGAACGGGACTGTGCAACACCCCTCGGCGGCTCACCTCTAGGGGGTGAAAATGAGCGCCTCGCTCGAGACATTCTCCAAATCTGCTCGGGGAACGAAGGATGTTGGGACCGAAAACAAGCAAACCGCTTGAGATCTCCCCCAAAAAGCGGCCGCGAACGGGACCGTGCAATACCCCTCGGCGGCTCCCCTTAGGGTTGCTGGAAGCAGCGCCCCGCCTGAGACATCCTCACAATCTGCTGTGTGTTGAGTAAGAGTATGAGTAAGCCTGGGTATGGATGAGTCTCGGCATGAGTAAGTCTGAGTAAAGTCTGAGCATGAGTAGGCCTGAGTATGAGTAGGTCTGATTATGAGTAAGTCAATATGATCAGGTCAGAGTATGAGTAAGTCTGTGTATGAATACGTCTAGGTATAAGGAGGAGGATGAGGAGGAGACGGAAACATAGGAGGCGTCCAAGTAATGTAACAATTACTTGACGCGGGGCTCACCATATGTGCATCTCATTCTCTTGGTACGTCTTTCTCTTGATATCTATCAATGGGCGCCTGTGTGCGAGGGCGAATCGCTCGCTCGAGACATTCCCACAGTCTGCAAGCATGAGTGCGACCAATCGCAAATCTGAGAGCGACTGATTCTGAATGTGAGTTAGTCTGGGTTCGATTGAGCCTGGGTTTGAGTGGGTATGCGTGTCAGTAAATATGAGCGCGAGTGCGTCTGTGTGCGAGTGGGTCTGAGCATGGACGAATCTGAATGTGAGCCAGTCTGTGATTGAGCGGATCGTAGCATGATGAGTCTGAGCATGAGTGAGTCTGGGCTTGAGTGGGTCTGAGTGTGAGAAACAATGTGTGTTAATGAATCCGAGTGCGAATGGGCCGGGTGTGATTGGGTATGGATGTGAGGCGGTGTGAGTGTGAGTCGGTCTGCGTTTGAGCGGACCGAAGGATGATGAGTCTGAGCAGGAGCGAGTCAGAGTATGAGTGGTTCTGAGCGTGAGTCTGAGTGTGAGTAAGTTTAAGTATGGATATGAGCGAGTCTAAGTGCGAGTGAGCCTGCGTGTGACTGAGTCTGAGTATGAGTGAGTAAGAATGCAGAAGAGTGAATGAGAGCGGAGAACGAAGGAGAGTGAGGCGGAAGCGTTTGAGTAAAACCTAAAGCTCGATCGTCTGGCCCTGGCAATTCGAGTTGCCCACGTCCTCCTCCTCCTCCTCCTCCTCCTCCTTCTCCTCCTCCTCCTCCTCCTCCTCCTCCTCCTCCTCCTCCTCCTCTCCTCCTCCTCCTCCTCCTCCTCCTCATCATCATCATCATCATCATCATCATCATCACATCATCATCATCATCATCATCATCATCATCTCCTCCCCTTCCTGCTTCTGCTCCTACCGTGTTCATGCTGTCCTCCTTCTCCTCCTCCTCCTCCTCGTCCTCTTCCTCCCTCCTCGCTTCCTCCTTCTCTTCCTCCTCCTCCTCCTCCTCCTCCTCCTCCTCCTCCTCCTCCTCCTCCTCCTTGGGAGTGCTGAAACCAGCAAATCGCCTGAGACATCCTCCCAAAACTGCTCCGAAAACGACAGATGCCCAGCAGCATAACGGCCAAACCGCCTGAGACATCCCCGCAAACTGGGCGCGAACGTCCTCCAAATCTGCTCCGAAAGCGAAACATGTTGGAAGAGAAAATGGCCAAACCGCCTGAGACATCCCCACAAATCCGCGAAAGGGGCCGAGTGAAATACCCCCCCGCCGCTCCCCTTAGAGTGCTGAAACCAGCGAATCGCCTGAGACATCCTCCAGATCTCGAAAGCGAAACGTGTTGGAAGAGAAAATGGCCAAACCGCCTGAGACATCCCCACAAAATCCCGCGAAAGGGGCCGAGTGAAATACCCCCCCGCCGCTCCCCTTAGAGTGTTGAAACCAGCGAATCGCCTGAGACATCCTCCAAATCTGCTCCGAAAGCGAAACAGGTTGGAAGAGAAAGTGGCCAAACCGCCTGAGACATCCCCACAACATCCCCCGAAATGGGGCCGAGTGCAATACCCCCCCGCCGCTCCCCTTAGAGTGCTGAAACCAACGAATCGCCTGAGACATCCTCCAAATCTGCTCCGAAAGCGAAACATGTTGGAAGAGAAAATGGCCAAACCGCCTGAGACGTCCCCACAAAATCCCGCGAAAGGGGCCGAGTGCAGTACCCCCCCGCCGCTCCCCTTAGGAGTGCTGAAACCAGCGAATCGCCTGAGACATCCTCCAAATCTGCTCCTGAGTGATGAGTGAGTCTGAGTGATGAGTGAGTCTGAGTGATGAGTCTGAGTCATGACTGAGTCCGAGTGATGAGTGAGTCTGAGTGATGAGTGAGTCTGAGTGATGAGTGGGTCTGAGTGATGAGTGAGTCTGAGTGATGAGTGAGTCGGTCTGAGTGAGAGGAGGGGTGTGTTGGTGTGTTCTCTCTCCTCCGGCGCGGTCCGCCAATAACAAGAACCCCATACTTAGGATATGGGGAATAATCCCATCTTAGGATATGGGGAAAAACGAAGAATCTTAAAGTATAGGTTGTCGCGTAGAGATCCCAGCCCCGAAGCGAGGCAAAGAGCAAAACTAGGAATTAAAAAACAAGAACCGCACCCGCGACGCGGCATGAAACAAAACAAGGAACGCCCTGGAACAGCAGGGGGAAGATCTGGGGGAAAATCAGTCGGGAGATCTGGGGAGTGTCCAATGGAAGATTTGGCGCGGTTGCAAAGCTATGAATCTGGAGGAGTATTTGGCGGAAGATCTGGGGGAGATCTGAGGGAACATCTCGGATATAGTATTTGGCGGGAAGTCTGGAGGAAGTTCTGGAGGGACATCTGAGGGAAGATATGGGCGAAAATCTGAGTAATGTGCTGATGGGGATTTGGCGATGTAGTGCGTCGTAAATCTGCAGCAAGATTTGCGGGAAGGTCTCGGGAAGATCTGGAGAAAAATCTGAGGGAGAAGATATGGGGAAACATCTGGGGGAAGATCTGGGTGAAGATCTGGAGGACGATCCGGAGGAAGATCTGGGGGAAGATCTGAATCAATTCCTGGGTGAATATATTGGGGGAACATAGAAAAAGCTCTGCGGGACAACATCGGGAAAGATCTGAGGAACGATCTGGGTGACGATTTGGAGGAAGATCTGGGGGAAGATCTGGGGGAAGATCTTGGGAAACATCCCGGGAGAGACTTTGGGAAAGATCATTGAGAAAATCTGGGGTAATATCTGGTGTGAGACCTGGGCCAAAATCTGGAGGAACATCTGGAGGAAGATCTGGGGGAAGATCTGGGGGAAAATCTGGGGGCAGAGCTGGAGGAAGATCTGGAGGAAGATCTTGGGGAAGATCTGGAGGAAGATCTGGGGAAAGATCTGGGGGAAGATCTGGGGGAAGATCTGGAGGAAGATCTGGGGGAAGATCTGGGGGAGATCTGGGGGAAGATCTGGAGGGAGATCTGGAGGAAGATCAGGGGAAAGATTTAGGGAAAGATCAAAGGAAGATCTGGGGGGAGAGCTGGGGAAAGATCTGGGAGAAGATCTGGGGAAAGATGTGGGGGCAGATTTGGGGAAAGATCTGGAGGAAGATTTTGGGGAAGATCTGGGGGAAGATCTGGGGACAGATCTGGGGGAAAATGCTGGGGAAGAATCGGGGGGGAAGATCTGGAAGAAGATCAGCCGGAAGATCTGTGGGAAATCTGGAGAAGGACGCGCGGGGAAGATCTGGAACAATATCCGAAGAGCGATCCGGGGAAAGACGTGGAAAAGACTTGGCGGAATATCTGAGGGGTGACCTGACGGAGCCACACGCCCTGAAATTGCCCGGAATCTGGAGGACAATCCGGAGGAAAATCTGGGGGAAGGTAGCCGTGACCGTTTTTAAAGCCAGGTTTTCGAGTATCACTCGCGCGATGACGGCGGGGCATGAAACAAAACAAGGAATTTTAAACATATGATTTGAGAGTAGGCCCGCGAGACTGAGCCCGGGCATGCCGTCCTAGTTTTTTTTGAACTCCCTGTAGCTGATGAGAGCCGACCCGCGGCTTTCTGGCCGCGGAATCTGCCCGTCATGGTGTGGATGCAGGAGGTGGCCGCTGGAGGGGGAGCTGGGCGAGGGATGCAGGCAAGCATGCTTGAAGGCAGGAGCGCGGTGGTGGAGGCGGTGTCAATGGAAGCGCACCCATGTAGGCACGACGTGGTGTGGACAGAAGGGCTCTGTGCCACGAGGAGCGAGCATGAGCCAAGAGGACTCCCTCATGAGCCATGAGCATTGTTGGTTCCCACCGTCGTCCCAAGAGGACCGACAGGGAGGACACGAATCGACCTTTCGAGCTCACCGCCCCGAAACGTCCCCCAAAGACCTAGAGATGGCTGCCAAAGGATCCAAAAGGCCCCCATGACGACGCTGGAAAGTCGACGCTCCCCAAGAGACAAAAGCATCCAAAGCCTCTTGGGAGCCGTTTGGGGGCCTCTTTTCGTCCTCTTGGGGGTCTCTCGGGGCCCTCTTGGGCCGTCATGAGTCTCCTGTGCCGTCTTGGGGTGATGTGGGGCCGTCTTGGGCGCCTCTCAGGCCATGTTGGGGCCGTCTTGGGGCCATCTTGGCTTGGGCCGCTATTGGCCGCTCTCGGGGCTGTCTCTTGGGCCGTCTCGGGCGCCTCTGGAGCCGTCCCAGGGCCGTTTCGGGCCGTTTTGGGGCCCTCCTGGGGGCGTCTAGGGGCGATCTTCTGGGCCTGTACAGCCGTCTTGGAAATTGTGCAGACGAACAGAAAGAACATATGACACACATGCGTTTTCCGAAGGGACTGGGACGAATTTTGCCTCTTGGGGCTCTCCTGGGGGTCCTCCTGGGCCGTCTCGGGAGCGTCCTGGCCTGCCTTGGAGGCCTCTGGGGACATCCTGGGGCTCGCTCGGGGTCCTCTTGGGGCGTCTGGGTGCCCTCTTGAGCGTCTCTGAATCGTCTTAGGGTACCCCCCAGCAGCCGTCTCGGAGCGCCCGGGGGGATCGCTGGGCGCCCCGGAGAGCCCGGGCGGCCTTTCAGGGCAGAGGACCTTCTCGCACGCAAAAGGTCCCTGCATCGTGCAAGAGATGACGCTGGGCTCCAGCTTTGCCTCCCGCATCTCGCTCAGCAGCGCCAGCGCCTGCTGCCACTGCTCGCCCTTCTCGCACGCGCTGATCCCCGCGCTGCAGCTTACCAGAGTGAACCCGTGGACTTCGCCCACGACCTTCAGGTACCCCCGGTGCGCCTCGCAGGCTCTGGAATTTTTTTTGTGTTTGTCTTGTAGAAACCTGAAGGCGGGCGCTGCCTTCTCCGAGGGATAGTTCGGGAGCTTCTCGGAGCTTGTTTTCGGCCTCCTGGACGCCTCCTGCGGTGCCCCTGGGGCGTCGTTCGCCTCCTGGGGGCCTCTTGGGGCTCTCTTGGGCCGCCTTGGATGCCGCTGGGGCCGTCTTGGGGCCGTCTGGGGCTGTCTTGGATGCCTCTTGGGCTGTCATGGGCGTCTCAGGAGCCGTCCGGATGCTGTGTTGGGCTGTCTTGGGGCCCTCATGCGGCTGTCCTGAGGGGTCTTGAGGCACTCTTGGGAGCCTGTATGGCCGTCGTGGAAACGTCGGAGACGAAAAGCACGGGAATTACAAACATGTCAGTTTTCCCTACGGATTGTGACGATTTTTTCTTGTTCGGGCCCTCTCGGGGCCCTTCTCGGTGCTCCGTCGGGACGTTCCAGAGGCGTCTGAAGCCGTGTAGAAGGAATCTTGGGCGCCTTGGAGTCTCTCTTGGACGGTCTTGGGCCCCCTTGGGGCCTTCTTGGGGGCCTCTGGGGGCGTCTCGGAGCGCTCTTTGGCCATCCTCGAAGCGCACCAAGGCCTGCTGGGTCTCGCAGGGGCCGCCGGGGCCCAGAAAAAGCCTGTCGGACCCCCGGTCGTCTCACACGCACCTGCCCCTGCATTGTAATAGAGACTAGTGTGTGCCTGTGGTGTGACCACCGCTATCGACGTTGAGGGGGGCAGAGCTTGTAGGGCGTGCCTGCGACACAGAAGGACACAGAAGGCCACCCTGAAGTTCCAGAGTAAGCATGAGCAAGCCCGGAGAGGCCCTGCAGGGCGCTCCTAGACGGCTTCAAGTGGATTCCAGGAGACCCGAAAAGCAAGTGGAGTGACGCCACTTGCTTTCTGGCCCTGTTGGGGTGCTCTTAGGGCGATCTTGGAGCCTACCAGGAGCGCTCCTGAGTTCTGTCGGACGTTCGGGGTATCTCGGAACGGACCCCGAGAGGCTTCAAAAAGATAATCCCAGAAGACTTCAAGCGGACTCCAAGATAGCTATTAAGCAAGTGGCGTCACTCCACTCGCTTTTGTGTTCTTTGCGGGTCCACTTGGGGCGCTCTCGGAGCGCTCCCAGAGGCCGCCTCAGTCCCGCCCGAAGCCCCAGGGTAGGCAGGAGCGGGCCCCACGAAGCCACAAGGAGGCTTCAAAGACGGGTTGAAGTGGATTCCAAAAGACCCCAAAAGCAAGTGGAGTGACGCCACTTGCTTCTGGGCCCTCTTGGGGTGCACTTGGGGCCCTGTTGGAGCCCCCGAGGAGCTCGCACGACTTCTGCCCGGAGCCCCCGGGTAGCTCCGAGAGGGCCCCGAGAAGCTTCAACGGGGAGACCCCCGGCGAGCCCTAAACTGACTCCAGGCTGGCCCACAGGCCAGTGTCGGGAGCGGCCAAGAGGGGGGTGTCCAAGAGGGGGGGGTGCAAATCATGACCGGCGGCATGTGCGCGGCCCAGCGGGGGGGCCAGGGACGTAATGAAACAAGAAGAGGCGCCATGAAATCTGGGGAATATCATGACCCCCGCCATGATATCCATCCCCCCCTAGTCATCACCCCCCTCTTTTCCGCTCCCGAAAGTGGCGCCGCCGTACTTGTTTTTGCATGCGCTCTCCGGGCCCGCCTTGGGGCCCTCCCGGAGTGCTCCCGGGCGCCGCCTAAGACCCTCCTGAAGCCCCAGGGTGGGCCCACGCAGGCCCCAAGAGGCCCCAGAAGTTTTTGTTGTTTTGTTTGTTTGTTTTTTTTTTGTTTTTGTTTTTTGTTGTTGTTTTTTTCCAAGAGCGGCTTCAAGTGGATTCCAAGAGAGCCCACAAGCACGTGGAGTGATGCCACTTGCTTGTGGACTCTCTCCAGGCCCACTTGGGGCCCCTCGGAGCTCTCCCAGGCGTCGCCCCATTCCCGCCTGAAGCGGCGGGGTAGGCAGGAGCGGGCCCCACGAGACCACAAGGAGGCTTCCAAGACGGCTTGAAGTGCAGTCCGAGAGCCCACAAGCAAGCGGATTGACGCCACTTCCTTTTGGGCCCTCTTGGGGCGCACTTGGGGCCCCCTGTTGGAGCCTCCCAGGAGCGCGACTGACTTCTGCCTGACGCCCCAGTGTAGTTCCGAGGGGACCTCGACAGGCTTCAAGGAGCCCCTCAAGAGAGCTCCCAAATGACTCCAAGATAGCCCAAAAGCAAGTGGCGTCACTCCACTTGCTTTTGGATTCTCTCCGGGCTCACTTGGGGCCTTCTCGGAGCGCTCCCAGGCGCCTCCTTAGTCCCGCCTGAAGCTCCAGAGTAGGCCCAAGCGGGCCCCAAGAAGCCCCAGAGGGGCCTTCACGACGGCTTCAGGTGGATCCCAAGAGAACCCAAAAGCACGTGGAGTGACGCCATTTGTTTTTGGACCTTCGTGGGGTCGTGGGAGCCTCTGGGCAAGTCCTGTCGGGACTCCGTTGGGCACTCTTGAAGCGAATCAGAAAGATCTTGGGAGCCTCTTGGTGGGGCTCTGTGGTCCCTCTTTGCTTGTTTTCGGGCTCTCTTGGGCCGTCTTGGGGCCCTCTGGTGCCGTCTTGAGGTCCTCTTGGGGACCTGCGAGGCCAGCTCGGAACCTTCTGGGGCCGACTTGGGGGCCTCTGGGACCCTTTGGGCCTCTCTGGGACTTCTCTTGGTGCCCTCCAGGACCGTCTTGGGGCCGTCTGGGAACCGTCTGGGGTCTTTCGCGGGCCACCTTGGGGCGCTCTTAGGAGCCTCTGGGGCCGCCCTGGCACGTTCTGGGAGGCCCCTGAAGCCGTCTTGGGCGGCTGAAGCCGAACAAAAATGAGAACACGAAAACCATCAAACAACAATCATGGAACATCACTGGATTTGGCCTCTGGTAGCGCTCCCTGGGAGTCTCGTAGGGCGGTCCTGGAGCGTATGGGCGCCTCTTGGGCTGTCTGGGGGCCACGTATGGCAATCTTGCGCCGTCTCCTGCGGCTTCGGTGCCTCTCCGAAGGCTACCGAGGCGGCTCCGAGGGCCCAGAGCGGCCCGGGCCCTGGAGGGCGCCCCCGGACCGGCCCAGAGGGCACCTGTTCGCTGCCACCGCTCGCCATTTTCGCGCGCGCTGGCCGCGGGATTGTAGGAGAGATGACGCTGGGCTCCACCTTCGCCTCGCGCATCTCGCTCAGCAGCGCCAGCGCCCGCTGCCACTGCACGCCGTTCCCACACGCGCTGATCCCAGCATTGTAGCTAATGGCGTTGGGCTCCAGCTTCGCATCCCAGATCTCGCTAAGCAGTACCAGCGCCCACTGCCACTGCGCGCCCTTCTCGCACGCGCTGATCCCAGCGCTGTAGATGATGACGTCGGGCTCCAGGTTCACCTTCCACACCTCGCTCAGCAGCGCCAGCGCCTGCTGCCACTGCCCGCCCTTCTCGCACGCGCTGATCCCAGCACTGTAGCTGACTAGGGCTGACCCGTGGACTACGTCCACTTGCGGGGTGGAGGGAGTACTGCTGGAAGGCGCACCTGATGACGTTGGGCTCCTTGTTCGCCTGGCCAACGACGCTTGTCATGAGGACCCTCTCGAAACGCTCTCGGAGGCTTCATGGCCGCCGCTTGTTGTGCTGAGTGCTGCCTGCTGCTACTCGCTGCTGTTTGCTTTGTCGTTCTTCTGCTGCCGCCTGCGGTTTGACTGGTGTGGGCTGCTGCTTGCTACGGCTTGGTGCTGCTGCTAGCTTTTTGCCTGGTGCTGGATGTTGCTGCATGCTGCATGATGCTGAATGACGCTTGCGTTGTCAACGCGTGCTGCTGATGCTGCACGGCTCTTTAGTGTCTGCGAAATGCCTGTCGCCTGTCGTCCGCTCCCACCCTCCTGGAGGCAATTCTGAAACCACTTAGGGCCTCGTGGGGGCCGTTTCGGAGCCACTTGGGGTCTTCTGGGCCTCCCGGGGAGGCTCTTAGGGCCCTCTTGGGCCGTCTTGGGTGCCTCTTGGGCCGTCTTGGGGCCAGCTGAGGCCGGCTTGGGCGCCTCTTGGGCTGTCCTGGGCCGTCTCGGGCCGCTCTTGGGGCCGTCTTGGGTGCCTCTTGAGCCGTCTTGGGCGCCTCCTGGGCCGTGCTGGGGCCGTCTTGGGGAGTCGTGGGGCCGTCTTGGGGCCCTCTTGGCCCGTCTTCGGGCTCTCTTGGGGCCCTCTTCGGCCGTCTTGGAGCTGTCTGGGGGACCTCTGGGACCGTCTTGGAGCGTCGGGAAGCCGAAAAGGCGAGGAGGCCGAAAACATCGAAAAACATAATGGAAATCATCGATTTTTGCCACTCGGGACCCTCTCTTGGGGCATCTTGGAGACCTCCGGAGCCGTCTTGGGCCAATCTTGAGCGTCTTGGGCTCATTTTTGGGCGTGCCGGGGCCCTCTGGGGCCATCTTGAAGGTCTCTTGGGGCCTTCCTTGGCGCGTCTTGGAGCGTCTCGGAGCGCGCCGGGGCCTGCTGGGGCCCGTCTTGGGGCCCTCTTGGCCCGTCTTGGGGCTCTCTTGGGGCCCTCTTCGGCCGTCTTGGAGCGGTCTGGGGGACCTCTGGGACCGTCTTGGAGCGTCGGGAAGCCGAAAAGGCGAGAAGGCCGAAAACATAGAAAAACACAATGGAAATCATAGATTTTTGCCACTCGGGGCCCTGTTGGGAGGCCTCTTGGGAAGCCTCTTGGGGCGTCTTGGAGACCTCTGGAGCCGTCTTGGGCCAATCTTGAGCGTCTTGGGCTCATTTTTGGGCGTGCCGGGGCCCTCTGGGGCCATCTTGAAGGTTTCTTGGGGCCTTCCTTGGCTCGTCTTGGAGCGTGTCGGAGCGCGCCGGGGCCTGCTGGGGCCCGTCTTGGGGCCCTCTTGGCCCGTCTTGACGCTCTCCTGGGGGCCTCTTCGGCTGTCTTGGAGCGGTCTTGGGGACCTCTGGGGCCGTCTTGGAGCCTCGGGAAGCCGAAAAGGCGAGAAGGCCAAAAACATAGAAAAACACAATGGAAATCCACGATTTCTGCCACTCGGGACCCTCTTAGGAGGCCTCTTGGGAGGCTTCTTGGGCCGTCTTGGAGGTCTCGGGAGCCGTCTTGGGCCAATCTCGAGCGTCTAAGCCCATCTTTGGGCGTGCCGGGGCCCTCCGGGGCCTTCTTGGTGGCCTCTCTGGGCCCTTTTGGCGTGTCTTGGGGCCTCCCGAGGCGGCCCAGGGCGGCCCGGGGCCAGCCTGGGGCCGTAAAGGGACGATTTTGTGCACTTGAGTGCCTGACCTTCTCGCACGCGCTTCCACCCGCCATGTAGGAGAGATGACGTCGGGCTCCAGCTTCGCCTTCCACATCTCGCTCAGCAGCGCAAGCGCCGGCTTCCACTGCTCGCCCTTCTCGCATGCGCTGATCCCAGCGCAGTAGCTAATGACGTCGAGCTCCAGCTTCACCTCCCGCATCTCGCTCAGCAGCGCCAGCGCCGCCTGCCACTGCACACTCTTCTCGCACGCGCTGATCCCAGAGCTGTAGGTGATGACGTCGGGCTCCAGCGTCGCCTTCCACATCTCGCTCAGCAGCGCCAGCGCCTGCTGCCACTGCCCGCCCTTCTCGCAGGCGCTGATCCCAGCGCCATAGCTGATGACGCTGGGCTCCAGCTTAGCCTCCCGCATCTCGCTCAGCAGCGAAAGCGCCCGCTGCCACTGCTCGCCCTTCCCGCACGCGCTGATCCCAGCATTGTAGCTGACTAGGGCTGACCCGTGGACTCCGTCCACGACATCTTTCTGGAATGGTTCTCGGAGGAACGGCGCAGATTGTACCGAAAATCTACAAACACGGCGGCGGCTCGGGCGGCGGCAGCGAGACCGCGCCTTCGTGTCCGAGCTCTTGCAGCGCTGCAGCAGCTTGGCCCAGCGCACTGCTCGTTCACCCCCCTCCTATTGAGGACAGTTTCGAAGTCTCTCGGGGATGTGCGTCGAAGTCGAAGCCCATCTGAGGCGTCTCAGGAGCGCTCGGGGAAGGGCTCGGGAGGCCATCGGGGAAAGCCACCGAAAGCGCCGGGGAGGCTCGCAAGGATCTACAGGGAGGGCCCAAGAGAGCTTCAAGAAAATTTGAAATCCAGTGAACTCTTAAGAGAAACCGCTGTTGGGTCGGCCATCACCTCCGGGCGCGCCTTGATGGTGCGATCCAGTCGCATCACCGCCAACGGGAGGGTTTGTTCGCCATGTCCCATTCTGTTCGCCCAGAGGGTCTGTGGAGGCCTTCGGGCGAACAGAACGGGACAGGGCAAGGAATGGGGAAGACATGTCCGAATCTCCTGGGCCCCCCAGATGCTCGTCCGAAGAATGCGGAGAGGTCCCAGGGTCATATCAATTGGCTGCTGTCCCAGGGGTCCGGTCTGCTTGGCCCGAAGAGTTTGCCAAGGCCCCTGGGGGAACAGAATGGCACAGCATATCGGGCAAAGGGGGGCGGTAGCTGGCCTGTCAGACCCGGCGTTCGTCTTCTGCCCAAGCGGCGCGGGGCCCACGGGCCCCAGGGTTGGCGTCCCGCTGGGATTCCTCTTGTTCGCCCACAGGGTTGGAGGAGGCCTCCAGGCGAACAGAATGGGGCAGGACAATGAATGTGGGAGACTTGTCGCAAGCTCCCAGCCCCCCCAAGTGTGCGCCCGAAGGGTGTGGGGCCGCGTTGGCTCCCTCAAAGGGCCGTCTTGGAGCCGTCCAGGCCCGTCTTGAGGGCGCCGTTTGCCGTGATGGGGCCGTCTTGGTTCGTCGTGGGCCCCTCATGGGCGCGTCCGTAGGCCGTCCTGGGCCCATCGGGGTCCTCGTGGGGCTGTCTTGGAGCCGTCTGGGACCGTGAGGAGGCCGCCTTGGAGTCGTCTTGGGCCCCTCCTGTGCGCCTCCTTGGGCCGTCCTGGGCCCAGCAGGGGCCGTGTTGGCACCCTCTTGGGGCTGTCTTGGAGCCGTCTTGAGCCGTCGCAGCGCGCCTTGGGTTGTGCTGGGTCCGTCTTGGCCCGTCTTGGGGCCTTCCTGGGCGGTTCCTCGGACCCTCCTGGGACTTTCTGGGGCCTCTTGGTGCATCGGACCGCCGAAACGGCGGGAAACGCAAAGGGTGTAACAGTAAACAATGGAAAATTAACGATTTTTGCCAGCTGGGACTCTCTTGCCATCTTGGCCCGTCTTGAGGCCCCGAACGGGCGCGTCCTTGGGCCGTCCTGGGCGCACCCTCCTGGGACCGTCTTGGAATCGTCTTGGGCCGTCTTGAGCGCGCCTTGGGCCGTCCTGGGCCGGTCTGGGGCCGTGTTGGCACCCTCGCGGCGAGGAAGCTCGGAGGCGGGCTCGAGGCCTCTTCGGGGCCATTTTGGAAGCTGTTGGGGCCTCTGTAGGGGCCTCGTTTGGGCTCCTTGGGAGCCTCCTGGGGCCTCTTCGGGGGATTCTTGGCGGCCCCTTGGGGCCTCTTGGGGGCCTGTTTGGGCCTCCTGGCGCCCTCTTGGGGCGGAAGGCTCGGATTTTCGGTCCGTGGTCCCCCTCTTGGCCCCCTCTTGGGCCTGTCTTCGGGCCCTCGTGGGCCGTCTTGAGCGTCTCTTGGGTCGTCTTGGGGCCCTCTTGGGCTGTCTTGGGGCGCTCTTGGAAACCTCTTGGGCCGTTCTGGGGCGCTCTTGGAGGCCTCTTGGGCCGTCTTCAAGCGTCGGAAAGCGGAAAAGGCGAGAAGGCCAAAATGCTTCCAAAACCGTCGTAAAGCGGACGATTTTGAGGCCCAAAACCGCCCCAAACCTCCTGACGCGGTCCCCTCGTCCGCCCCCCTCGCTTCGAAGCAGTTTTTACCTAACATCGAAGACTGGTAGGTTTCTAGTGGTGTAAAAAGAGAGCAGCACATTACTCCACAAGGGGGTCTGGGCAGCCGTTGGGGAGCCGTTGGGGTTTTCCGGGGGGGATCGTTTTTTGCATACAGTCACACACACTTCGTGCTTTTCGATTTCCCAGAACTCCATTCCCGGGCCACATTCTGAATGCCCGGAGCCAACTGTACGCCACTTCGTGCTCTTCGACTTCCCAGAACTCCATTCCCGGGCCACATTTTGGATGCCCGGAGCCAACTGTAGGCCACTTCGTGCTCTTCGATTTCCCAGAACTCCATTCCCGGGCCACATTTTGGATACCCGGAGCCAACTGTAGGCCACTTCGTGCTCTTCGAGTTCCCAGAACTCCATTCCCGGGCCACATTTTGAATGCCCCGAGCCAACTGTAGGCCACTTCGTGATCTTCGAGTTCCCAGAATTCCATTCCTGGGCATGATTTTGAATGCCCGGAGCCAACTGTAGGCCACTTCGTGTTCTTCGAGTTCCCAGAATTCCATTCCCGGGCCACATTTTGAATGCTGAGGCAGGCTGAGGCTGAGGCTGAGGCAGGCTGAGGCTGAGGCAGGCTGAGGCTGAGGCCGAGGCTGAAGGCAGACTGAGGCTGAGGCTGAAGCAGGCTGAGGCTGAGGCTGAGGCAGAGGCAGGCTGAGGCTGAGGCAGGCTGATGCTGAGGCAGGCTGAGGCTGAGGCTGAGGCTGATGCAGGCTGAGGCTGAGGCAGGCTGAGGCTGAGGCCGAGGCTGAAGGCAGACTGAGGCTTTGGCTGAAGCAGGCTGAGGCTGAGGCTGAGGCAGGCTGAGGCTGAGGCTGAGGCAGGCTGAGGCTGCAGGCTGAGGCTGAGGCTGAGGCTGATGCAGGCTGAGGCTGAGGCAGGCTGAGGCTGAGGCCGAGGCTGAAGGCAGACTGAGGCTGAGGCTGAAGCAGGCTGAGGCTGAGGCTGAGGCTGAGGCTGAGGCTGAGGCTGAGGCAGGCTGATGCTGAGGCAGGCTGAGGCTGAGGCTGAGGCTGATGCAGGCTGAGGCTGAGGCAGGCTGAGGCTGAGGCCGAGGCTGAAGGCAGACTGAGGCTGAGGCTGAAGCAGGCTGAGGCTGAGGCAGAGGCAGGCTGAGGCTGAGGCTGAGGCAGGCTGAGGCTGATGCTGAGGCAGGCTGAGGCTGAGGCTGAGGCTGATGCAGGCTGAGGCTGAGGCAGGCTGAGGCGGAGGCCGAGGCTGAAGGCAGACTGAGGCTGAGGCTGAAGCAGGCTGAGGCTGAGGCTGAGGCAGGCTGAGGCTGAGGCTGAGGCAGGCTGAGGCTGAGGCTGAGGCTGAGGCTGAGGCTGAGGCTGAGGCAGGCTGAGGCTGAGGCCGAGGCTGAAGGCAGACTGAGGCTGAGGCTGAAGCAGGCTGAGGCTGAGGCTGAGGCAGGCTGAGGCTGAGGCTGATGCAGGCTGAGGCTGAGGCAGGCTGAGGCTAAGGCTGAGGCTGATGCAGGCTGAGGCTGCGGCAGGCTGAGGCTGAGGCGGAGGCTGAAGGCAGACTGAGGCTGAGGCTGAAGGCTGAGGCTGAGGCTGAGGCTGAGGCAGGCTGAGGCTGAGGCTGAGGCTGCAGGCTGAGGCTGAGGCAGGCTGAGGCTGAGGCCGAGGCTGAAGGCAGACTGAGGCTGAGGCTGAAGCAGGCTGAGGCTGAGGCTGAGGCAGGCTGAGGCTGAGGCTGAGGCAGGCTGATGCTGAGGCAGGCTGAGGCTGAGGCTGAGGCTGATGCAGGCTGAGGCTGAGGCAGGCTGAGGCTGAGGCCGAGGCTGAAGGCAGACTGAGGCTGAGGCTGAAGCAGGCTGAGGCTGAGGCTGAGGCAGGCTGAGGCTGAGGCTGAGGCAGGCTGAGGCTGAGGCAGGCTGAGGCTGAGGCTGAGGCTGATGCAGGCTGAGGCTGAGGCAGGCTGAGGCTGAGGCCGAGGCTGAAGGCAGACTGATGCTGAGGCTGAAGCAGGCTGAGGCTGAGGCTGAGGCAGGCTGAGGCTGAGGCTGAGGCTGAGGCTGAGGCAGGCTGAGGCTGAGGCTGTGACTGCGACTGCCGTTGCCACTGCGACTGTCATCGCGAATGCGACTACGACTGCGAGAACAGCAGAATTCTACAACTGGATTCTCATCCGAATCTTAAGGGGAATGCTTCCAGATATGCTCCTACACATCGATGTTAGGTTGCTTTGCCGGGATAATTAAGCGCCGTGGCACCTCTTGGGGATCTCTTTTGGGCTCCTGGGGGCCTCTTGGGCCTCCACTGGATTCGCTGCCCTCGGTCGGCAATCGTCGATCCTACGACGACTCTCCCCAACGGAGAAACATCGAAGGCCCTCGGAGCGTCCAACATTGTTCTTTTGTGCCTTCGATATGCCGGTCGCCTCTCGTCCGCTCCCCCCCTCCTGGAAGCAATTCTGAGGCCACTTAGGGCTTCGTGGGGGCCGTTTGGGGATCTCTTGGGGCGTTTTTGCCTGCGATATGCCTGTCGCCTCTCGTCCGCTCCCCCGCTCCTGGAGGGAATTCTGAAGGCACTGAAGGCTTCGTGGGGGCCGTTTCGGAGCCTCTTCGGCCTTCTTTTGGGCCTCCCGGGGGGGCTCTTAGGGCCCTCTCGGGCCGTCTTGGGTGCCTCTTGGGCCGTCTTGGGGCCGTCTGAGACCCGCCTCGGCGCCTCTTGGGCTGTCTTGGGCCGTCTTGGGCCGCTCCTGGGGCCGTCTTGGGTGCCTCTTG